GGACTCTCCCCACTCTCGGCCGTACCAGGGCATCGATACATGTACCTGTATATCAACTAACATATTTTCAATTCTACTTTAATAATATTAAATAAATAAATAATTAATTCTACTTTTTAGGCACTGCAGGTTATGTCGCATTAGCATATCGGCTTCGGGTTTCCTTTATCACCAAATACGGTATGTTATGTCCATCTTGTTTATGGTAGGAAGGGGTTATGAAAGTCCATCAGTAAGTTGATTCTTACACTAATTATTTACTTTTTATATGATTAATTAATGTTTGGTTTCAAGGACTATCAATCATGGTGATTTTGATTTTCTTTTTTCAATCTTGTGAATTTGTACTTAATTTGGTTTAGGTAATTGAATTGGGGAATTGAATTCCAGACTCCCATAAAAATATATGCACAACTACGAGATTTAATCTATTTGTCGGTATCCATTTATTAAACGAAGTTTATCAGAATTGTGTGATATATTTGCGCAATACATTCCGAACAATCTGATCACATATACTTGTTAAGAACATTTATATATAAAAATTAAAAGGTCAACTAGACAGGTTAAAGGTAAGCCGTAACAAATAAAAAATAAATAATATTAAAGTACACAAAAACAATTGTGATGACCACTCTGGATAATAAATCAGTATTACCAGGGTAGGTTAAGCGTAAGGATAAATTGATTTTGAACACATAAAGTGGGTTTCAATTTCCGTAAAACCAAGGCTTCAATGAACCTTAGTATACTTCCTTGAAGGCTTTTGTATAACACTACAAATGCTGATTTGATGTCAACCTTATGACCAGTCTCAATCAAATGTTTCGCAATGGAGGATTATGTCTGTCTATCCTGTGATCTTATTTGACCATTGGGATCCATTTGTTTCTGCAACCGTTTTGGTATGTGTTCGCCCATCCTTAGTTGCAAATCACGATTGCTCCTCCCTATGTACGTGTTTCCGTGCTGTTTGGGCTTTTTGTGAAACATAGACCTTGTCTTTCCGATAATGACAAGTTGAGCTGCATGAAATGTCCGGCTGATAGTTAATTTGAGTTTCCGTTTCAACGTGAGACTATTTGTGTCACCTCTGAATAATAACGTAATGTTAGCTAGTGTTTTGGGTACCAGAAGCGTCATAGGTCTAGCCGTATTGCAAACCTTCCGGCTTTCTACATATAGAACATTAGATGGAATCATCATCTCTCCTACTAAGCAGGATGTCTAGAAAAAAAAGTTAGTTATTCTTCGCTTCGCAAGTAAGACAATTATACTTTTGTCTTGAGTTTTTTAACAAGCGGTTTACATCTTCCCATTTATCCCCTATAATTATGATGTCATCAACGTACCGTTTATACAGATACGCTTCTGGTACCCAAAAAGCTAGCTAACATTACGTTATTATTCAGAGGTGACACAAATAGTCTCACGTTGAAACGGAAACTCAAATTAACTATCAGCCGGACATTTCATGCAGCTCAACTTGTCATTATCGGAAAGACAAGGTCTATGTTTCACAAAAAGCTCAAACAGCACGGAAACACGTACATAGGGAGGAGCAATCGTGATTTGCAACTAAGGATGGGCGAACACATACCAAAACGGTTGCAGAAACAAATGGATCCCAATGGTCAAATAAGATCACAGGATAGACAGACATAATCCTCCATTGCGAAACATTTGATTGAGACTGGTCATAAGGTTGACATCAAATCAGCATTTGTAGTGTTATACAAAAGCCTTCAAGGAAGTATACTAAGGTTCATTGAAGCCTTGGTTTTACGGAAATTGAAACCCACTTTATGTGTTCAAAATCAATTTATCCTTACGCTTAACCTACCCTGGTAATACTGATTTATTATCCAGAGTGGTCATCACAATTGTTTTTGTGTACTTTAATATTATTTATTTTTTATTTGTTACGGCTTACCTTTAACCTGTCTAGTTGACCTTTTAATTTTTATATATAAATGTTCTTAACAAGTATATGTGATCAGATTGTTCGGAATGTATTGCGCAAATATATCACATAATTGTGATAAACTCCGTATTCTCATTTATTAGTTATAACTCAGTAAACTTCATTAAACCAAATGATTCGTGGTCAGTTGACAGACAATAGTATCAACAAGTCGCGTAAAGTGTAATCAGTCGTGGACGTAAGATATCAGCTGTAAGGTCTTCCATTTGAAGCACGATTTCCTAGCGTTAATAGTGAGTAGATAAATAGAAACTAGTTTTTAAGAATTGTTTATACAAGATCGCTATTTGCTTCTCGACGCATAATAACTTGTTTAGTAATATATATGTAGGTTATAATGGATCCAAGTATTAACTGATTTAAAACATAAATTCAGTAAAACTAATGATATCATCACAATCAATGCAATGGCCTCGGGATTTCTATTTTTGGTTACTACTGTGCTCAGCATTTTCTCCATTCCATTTCATGTTGTGTCACTAGTCTTGAACTGTATACAGTGCCAGTTAAGTGCTATAGGCAAATAAATAACATGGATCCGACTATTTTTATCTAATGGCTATTACCATTTGTATACTACATGTCAACATTATGTGCCTGATTACTTTTCTGTTATCTGCTTTCCCGATCGTAGCTGCTACCTTGACGCGGTGGTCGGGCTTGCCTATCGTGATGACCCAACCGAGCTATATTGGCTGGAACATATGTTCCTGCAGGTTCTACCATGCCAGGCAGGTCGATTGGAGAACTGTAAGACTAAAAGCAGCAACTCAAGGTCTGAGGGCGAAGTCGTAATGTTGACTGTAGAGGGCTGTGACAGCAGTAAGGTGTTTCCCTCGGACAACCACCATCTACAGCGATGCTGCCTTCTCACAAGGAAGGGCGGGGTTAGAAAAGGTCGACCCTAAAAATGTGACACCTCACCTTACCTCACGGATTTCCGTCTCCGGCGGTGAGACCTTTTGAAGAACGGAGCAAACTTCTCAAAAACCTCCCACAAAAAGACCGTGCGCGACCGGCCTCAAGCAGTTGTCCCCTGGGCTCTGCGGTCACGCTCCCAGGCCATTAAGGCCAGCATTAATCTAACTTCGTTTTCAGGTTCCTCAAGAAATACCCTTCCACGGTGTGGGCAGCCGGGAAGTGACATCAGCCCTCATACCCGTAACAGCACACGAGACCAAGTTGGTCACATTCAAATCCTTCCTACACCTTCTAATACCATTCTTATCTCCCCGACTAACCCTTCTCACGTCCTTTTATCACCTCGCACCGCTAGGGCAAACGATTCGAGTACGCGGAACGTTATTCCTGGTCTCCTGAAACCACGTTTTAAACTTCATGTTGGAGCTTATAACGTCCGAACGCTGTGCCAAATAGGATGAAAAGCTTCCTTAGCTAGGACTTAAAGATCTCGCGCCATCGATGTGTGCTGCGTCTCCGAAACGCGCATTCAGGATTCGAGTAGCGTCATTCATTTGACATCACCATGTCAAAACAAAGAACCAACTCGAGTCATGTTAGTAGGTGTAGACTACATGGTTGTGGACCGCGACATGATAGCAACCGATGGTCAGAGACCCTGAATGACATGGCTCAAAATCGTTTGCAATGGCGCAGGTGCATCCACTCTTTGTGTTCTCTCAAATTTTAAACTCCTGATTTCTCCTTGTCTCTTTTTCTTTCTCTTCCCAGATTTATTTCACTGGATTACACTATTTAAATAACATCTCCAAACCCTAATCTTTCCGATTACTGCTTATACTCGTACTACCTCTACCACTACGAGATTTGAATCGACCACTGCATTTCTGTGCTAATGTGGCATGGCAACTCGAACTGATGTACGTACGTACGAAGTTCTACGTTGTTACTGACTGGCTCTGTTATCTGCTTTACGTAGTAGATCTGTATGATTAGTTGTTTTTACACTTCAAAAGGGGCATCATGCATAAAACAGTATGCATACAGCTGTAATCCTTAAAAGAAGATATTCAACACTACTTGGGAATAACTTTTCGTTATGTTTAGTTAACATTTATTTTTTCTACTGATAGATTAGGGATTTTAAAAAAACATTGATTTCATTTTATATTAAAGGTTGTTGATGACATGTTGGATTTGAGTAAGACTCCCGCTAAACCTCATTATCACCTTGCAGCTGGTAAGTCTCTGAACAGTAATACATATCTCCCAAAGACTTCCCGTTGTTATTTATTGCTGGCACCTACCCAGAATCTTGTTTAAATTGGGAAACAAGTAAAGGTATGTGGATAATCACTTCACTCTACAATAAAATTTCTAGCTGCTCAACTAGATTTGGTCAAACATTATCAGAAATTGTGGTCAGAATACGGAATCCGGTAGAAATATTGTACTTTTCTTTAAACGATTTTTATCCAAATTATTTCCAGATCAGCTATTGTCAGAAGAATGTTGAACTATGTTGAAAGTATGTTTGCCTATCATTGTGTTCCATAACTACATGGATTCCCGCTCTTTTAATTAGCTTACTAGGATTATTAATGAGGGTTTTGTATGAATTCAAGTAGTCATATTGTGTAGTCACTCATGCATAACATAATGCTTTGCAGGTGTTCGATATAAAAAAAGTACAACGACCAAAGAGTCGATAGTTAGTTATGAGTACAAGTGTATTCGCCATTGTTTGTATATATTGCGCTCCCAAATCTGAGCATTCTCCTTCCAACTACAGGACTAATTATCGAAACTTCTCTCTCTGGTAACCTGATGTTAAGTACAAAGACAGTATCGCTTTTTTTCACACAAATTTGTTATTAACTTGATTTTATCAGCATATAACTAGATCCAATATATTTCTTGTTACAGGTACCATTCCAAATAGCTCACTAATCAATCATCATTTGGATGAAATATCTCCAGAGGCTAAATTTATTAGCACTTTAGAACTGTCTAATAAGAAAACTGTAATTAAGAAGCTATCTACAAGACATGTGGAACTTACTGTGGATGAGAAAATCGAAAATTTACGTAAAAAGAGGAAAATAGACACGTGTATTTTGGAAAAACCCATAGAAACAGAATTTACTGAGCAGTGTACTTGAAAATCTCCTTAAACATGTATTACATTGAACAAGCCTTTTTTTCTTCAAAATTATGGTGAAAAGGTTTATAAAGTCTCTGAAAAACATTAGAAATAGTAGGACCATCTACTGTTTATGACATTACACCCAAACAAGAGCATAATTGTTTCCTATCGATCAGTAAGTATTAAATGAGAAATAACCTGTGCTTGAAGCATTTTAACCTTCTGATGCTAATTAGATTTATATGAAATGGGATAACCTAGTAGGATCGGAGGGTAAACAGCAATCTGCAGTGTCAAACATATAGTTAAAGCAGGTCGTAGGATTAGTCTTAAATTAACTTTGTGATGTTTCATGAAAATGATCCAGAACCAATGATTAGATTTGCTACAATCTTAACAATACGGAAATCCAAACCCTCCTGTGTGTTCAAAAATAATCAGTAGTGACAATAAACCTACTCTGATAATATTGATTTCATTTCACAGATTAGTGTAACTCATATACTCCTATTCGCTTAGTTCAGCCTTTATTTTTGTCAAAGCATTTCAGTCGCCCTTCACATTAGCCTAAACATAAACAGTCACATCAATAAAAATGGCATTTCGATTGTTACAGGTTGATATACAATTTAAACTCAGTTATACCATACATAAGCTAAATGTAGAAGAAAAGAACACTCAAAATGAAATCGTTGTAGGTAATGTATATAGTAAACATGAAATATAACATCTGTTTTCAAATATTTATCACGTGGGAAAATGTGAAGTGATTTTGCTCTTTACTTATGAAATATATATGTATATTAGCTTAAAGAATCTCCTTGTTTTAGGATGAAAGTGAATGAGTGAGTGAGTATTTGTAAGTAAGAAGAAATAAAATATAAAAGCAAAGATGTCTTCATATACGTAGACGTAATTGATAAATGAAATATCACAATTTTACGAATATGTACATACAAAAGCACATATTATTTATCAATTCAATGTAATCATTTAACTTGTCATTATGGCAGGTTAACAAGCGAGTTTGCTGCCCCTCGATCACGATCAGTCCGTAACTATGAAAGCAAAAGAAAACATTTCAGGAATTTTTATTATAAATGGTTTAAAATTGATCTCCAGGTACGAGATATATGTTTTAAAGGCTAGAACCCCGATATTTCGAAACAACTTTGTAGGTTATAACACTAAGCCACACCTAAGACGGTAGTTATACACGGCACCAAATAAATATATACATCCCGTAGTAAATGTAGATGTAATATAAATACTTAATAGACTACAAATCTTTGTCCAGAATTAATGCAGAATACAATTAGACTGATGATAGTCTAGTCATCCATAAGGAATAAGACAGTCCAATAATGGAAGCACAAAACTTAGCACTTGTATTCAGGATGCTTAATTTGTCGATAGTTTTATTTTTACCTGTCAATTTCTGGAGGCAGGAAAATAGCTGATGAAACTAACTAGACTGACCAGATAAAAGTAGGTTGGAACCTGCACGTAAGCAGCTGAAAGCAAAGCGCTTTAATCCTTACGCTACTGTTCATCTCTTCAGACAACGCGAAACCCAAGCTTCACTGAAAATATAATCGTCAAATAGCAATAAAATACGAAAATATACTGAGAAATTAAAGGTACATGAGCATTGAACAAATCTCAATGTCTTACTCGATCTAATGATGAACGGTGATGTCTTTTGCGACTTGGCTTCGTCCGATTACGTACAGATGTCATATCTAACTTAAGCAATGGGTTGTTCATAAACACATTCGCATCATTACTTCCTTGTTGACCTTTTATGATGGATGGATTTTTCACATTATTATCAGAATTCGGTGAATCACATCTCTTGTTTGACACTTCTGTATGTAACAAATAATGTGGAAGTCCATAGATAGAAGATGATCTCTGGCGCAAAACCCTGTCTTCTGCATTACTGGATTCGGGGTAAACATCATGTCTTAATTCGGGATCAGATGCTGTAACTGGAGAATGTGCACAGTCTGTGGAACTTTCATCATCTTCTAAATAACCATCATCTTCCAAAGATCTAAAGGAAGACAGACTGTATTTAGTAACGTGTGCAGATTTTTCAGATGCATTAACTACTGGGTCGAGATCACTATTCATCATTAAATTCCCTGTTTGACTGTTGTCATACGCTTGTAGACCATAATCAGATTTATATTTCCGTAAATGATTAGGGTGGACACCACTTATAATCAAATTGTTTAGGATTAAAGCACGATTTACATTACATAAGACGCCTGAATTTCGGTATGAATAACTGCTACCGACATTTAAAGATGAATCGTAACAATCACTTAGAAAACGTCGTCTACTCTTGGAAGACAGATTATTCTTCAAAAAGTCGAAAATATGCTTTTGTTCTTCCTTGCGATGTTGTTCATTTGAAGATGAAATTTTCGAACTGGATCCAGACTGTAAACAGTGATCAGTATCAAAATATCGTGATGTTGAATCTGAAACAACAGTGTGTGTAGATTTCGGAAATTTCCTTACAGCAGTTATACTGCTACCACTGGAAACAGTAGGATCGGTATAGGTAGGAATATCAGTTATAGTAATTTTACTAGCTATATCAGGTAACTGAGGGAAATTTTGTACATTGGTGCCATCTGTTCTATGGTACTTATCAGAACCTGTTTTTAAAAAAAAAACAAATGGTGTGTTGTTAATTAAGTTCAAAGCTTTTACTACTAGAACCAAAAAACCAAATACTATGTATAGTAACTGTAAAAGTCTTCTTTTGATTGCTTCAAGTACCAGATATGCAAACGCGTGTTTTATAAATTTTCAAAGGGTTAAACATTGTATTTATTAGCCGAATTATACCTATATATAATCGTTATTCTGGTCGTAGATTTTCCGCTGGACCTGTGAAACAAACTAAACCGTTATTTTTTAAATAACACCGTCTGATTGTAAGTTAATATCTCATTTATAAAGAATGGTAGACAACCTAAAAACTACCTAAGGCATCCTTTTCTTCTGCAGTTGGCATAATGACTATCTTTTGCCTTCTCCCTTGCTCTTTGTCTTCCCCTGAGTGGCGACGCAAATTACAATATTATGTTACACACTTATGTCATGTCGTACATTGTTCATAAGTTCTCTTGTTAATGAGAGCGAAAAATGATGCACTTTATTTGAAAACAAATATCCAAATGAATAGTATTCTATACATTAGTAAATACTGTGATTTACAGGTTGGGTTACATATAATAAGGTAAACTGTACACCGTAGAGAATTACTGTTGCATCTTCAAAAACCAATTTTGGGATTATACTCGGGTCAGCGTGATCAGACTATCTATTATTAATAACAGGTACACCTATATTTGGTTTGTAGGATCGATGATCTAGACTTTAACGCCTATCATTCCTCAAGCAACCTCTAACTCAGTGTTTATTCACTTATTCAAACACATAAATATTGGTACAAAGGGGCCACACAAGTCACTTGATTTGTCTGTGGGCTATGATACTGCCCGGGTGTTCAGACCGAAGCAGGCAGTTTTGTTAGGCCACACCTCGAACCTTAGACCTAAAGGTCTGATCCACAAGGGCAGTGGAGCAACATCAGGAGATGCAATCCTATGGTAACCGGCAACCAACGATTGGTTCATACGCCAGGAGATCATGTGCACCATTGGTTTGGAATCAGAGTTTTTCAACTCCCTGGACATTCCCTTTAGTATTTTCGATTTCGTGAACAATACCGCCGCGGGGAGGCAGTGAGTGGGACATCCCTGGCAGTGGCTGTATACGCGTGGCCATGGGTGATAAAAAAGAAGGAAAAGGGAAGTAGTTTATAATAAATCTGAGACGGTTTATGTGTTAGACAACAGCTTGCAAGTAAGTAAATATAAAAATATAGTACTCCAAGTGTCTGATATAACTATCAGATACAACAAAGAATAGAAATAATTTCAAGTATAATAGATCTGACAGCTTAAATCCCCTTCAATTTGACAGCTACACAATCAGTTTACAAACCATACTGGCCTCATACCTATATACAAAACAGCGAGCCTTATCGTTCTTCCATTATCGACATGTTGAGGTTGCATATTTGCTAACCAAATCGATCTTAAACATTGTGAAAGACAATATTCACTACATAGTGTTCATTAATGAAGTAGTATAAATATATATTTGTACAATGACCATGTGAGCTCGAATCTCTAATATATTCAGAATAGATGTAATCCCTTTATCGATCAGTTTTCTACCTTACTGAGTAATTTCTCCACAGACAGATGGACTAGTATATCGTAAGTCATACGTCAACACTGTTATAATGATAGAACCAACATGTGAATAATTTGTGCAAATGCATAATTCACTCAAAAAATGAAGATAGAACTATCAGCTAACTGACTGAGTCAATGTTGAGGAAATCGAAGTTGTCTTTTACATGTAGAGTATCAAAACAAGGTAGTTTGACTGTGAGTTATTAGGAAAACATTTGATCATCAATATTAGTGAACACCGTAAATAATTAATAATGCTGTGACTCTTTCTATTGTATCAAGTACTGTGTTACATCGTTGATTATCAAGTTGGTACTGGATACTGAGTTTACGTAAATGTAACCTTCAAATCAGTCTATTGTATCCCTTATTCTCAAGGATTCGACAATTCGCTGATTACATACATAACAGGGCCAATGAATTCATATACAAACACGTAAAATACATGTGAAAAATAATTTTGTACAATGTTATATAAACCGGTTACATTCATGATCTAGACGATCAATTTAGATTTATACGCATAATATTTTAAAGCACTCAACTACAGTAACTAGCTAATTGAAGCAATCCTTCGTTATTATTACTTGGTCGTGATTTGATAACATACGATAATAACTTTACCCATAAATTCTGAGTAATCTATTAATCATTCGTTTTCGGAACTTGCACAAACTAATAACCATTATTACCTTTATTAATGTAAAATTAATAAGACTTTTCAAGAACCTACCACTGTTTTTCCATAAGAAACGTTATGAAACATAAATTAGCAGAGAAAAAACACCTACCTGAAGAATTCACACCTTTGGATGTTTTAGCTACACATTCAGCTAGATCAATGAATGTGGGCTGATCACTAAAACTCTGTAAGAAAAGAACAAGGATATATATATATATATATATATATATATATATATATATCAATTAGAAAGAGGAAAAAACAAAAATCTATCAATGGTCACAAAAGAATCTTATTTTAATCCACTGTATGATTCATTAAGATAATTAACGGATTATTCTCACTTAAAAACCCTATTATCAGTGTTTTTAATAGTCAACGTAAGTTATTAGACTTGCAATAATAATGTAACCGCTTAAACTGCTAAGCATATCAGCGACACATATAGATAAAAAACAAAACGAAAAAGTGAAAATTATATTTGAAACAAATCTCAACGATTGAAATTTAAATAATTCCAACGTTTCGTCCAGCTAACATGTCTGGACTTCTTCAGGGTAATAATTAAAATCATCAAAGAAATATATAGCTGGACGAAACGTTGGAATTAGTTAAATTTCAATCTCTGAGATTATTTCAAATATAATTTTCACATATAATGATTTCCCCATACTCGGCGCCTAATTTCTGTCAAACTATTCGTTCTAATCTTGACGAATATTCTTATAAAACGAAAAAGTGTTCAACTTACCGTATAAGCGAGAACATGAGTTTGTTAAAGTATATACAAAACAAACAGATTTTGAGCAATAGAACAAAAAGTTTGCGTTTGTCGTAAGGAAAGTGTAGTTTTGTATATCAGACTAAGTGGTTAGAACACTTCATTGTTCTACTCCAAAGAAATGTTATTCGTTTTCTTAAACTTAAACGGGAAATACACCAGTACACTATTAAATCTTCAAAAATTAAACATGCTACATTTACCAGCTAATTTCGAAAATATTTAAGGAATTGTGAGGTCGAACATCTTTGAGGATCATTAATATTTATTTCTGCACCAGACAAAAACTAACAAAATTATCATACAATTGAAATACTTTGGGAATTATGAAGTAATATTTGTTAAACGTAACGTACAGAAAAAGATTTTGCTATGTAACAAGCTTTTTGAAAGTTAACACAAAAGAGCTTGGAAAGATATACTCATTTATTAGACCTGTAAGTTACTCATCTTTTTTCCCTTTGTTTATAAATTTAGGGATTGTGGATTATGTATAATCAATCTGATTTGCCAGCGTATATCACAAGAAACGTTTCGATTTTCCTATTATGGACTGAGACGATTCATTATTAAGACTAATCAGTCCCATTCATTGACGAACAAGGCAGAAAAAGAAACCAGTAGGAAACAACGAGACTTCCTGTTATTGTTAATTCAATTTTTTGAGATGATATTACATATACACACATACAGATTAAGATAATGTTTCCAAAATTGCAAGTCTGTAAAGTTGTATAGTTACCATATCTACATATTGTATCAGTTAGTAGGAGTAACTATACACAGCTTTAGAGATATTCTATTCATAAAAAAAGATAATCAATCTATAAAATTAGTCAATAGCAAAAATCGTATTTGTATAACAGAATGTATAACTCCACTGAAAATATCACCATTAATTTAATTGATAGCCGATAGATTTCTACTATGATCCACTCGACTGTTCAGTATGGATTTACAGAAAAATAAAGTTATAACCTTTTTGTTTCGAGAATTCTTCTAAAAATCAATTTTCTATAAATGAGCCAATGAAGATAATATACTAATCAACTACAAACATTTTACTACAAAATGAATTGTAGAAATAATTAAAAACATGTTAAATTATGTTACAACTATTTCAATCAAACCTATCAAATTAATATGAACACATGACGGTACTATTACCAATATTTTCGAAGGATTCTTTTGATAGAATAGTTTAGTTCAACTGTTATGATGTGTATTGCGTTTCATATTAAAATATTTATTAAAGCAAAGTGTACTATATGAGAATAATAAGTGATGTATAATGATTTCAAATAGTAATTTAATTAAGTCATATACGATAAGATTTTAATTTATATTCTGGCATATAAAATACATTTTGAACAATAACAAACGATATAATAATGTACAAAAGTCGGTCTTTTTTCCGATATAAATCACATTATATCCCTTGATTTATGTAATTAAAAAAAAAGATTTTGACAACTGTGCTATAAAATAATGCATATATATGTTAAAGATCCAGTATTTTAATGTATAAGTGAATTATCAGTAGAAATATAGAACCAACATAAAAGAATATATCAAATTTTACTAACCTGAGTTAACCAGTTATGAGTTGCTGTTGAATGAACTGGAGTTAACTGAGTAGTTGAAGGATCTATCTCACATGTAGATATTTCAGTCAAAGAGGAAATATGTAGTTTCACACCTGGTATGAGATTTTGTAAACGACCTTCTTCGTGCCAAGTATTAAGTATATATTTAATGTAATCATAGCCAACATTCTATAAGAAAAATAAGCTAGTTAAATAGTATTTTTTTATAGATTTGATTCTTTCTTGTAATTTTATAGTAGTAGTAGTAGTAGAGTTCAAATGTGTTACATCACCTGATAGAAAAACTTTACTGAAAAGTTCTACTTGTTTCAACTGTATGTAGTCTTTTAATTATTGTAAAACTTTAAATTCAATCACTAATTTGTTATTAATATAATTATTAATGACTATTTAGTATTATATTTTTGGTACAATATTGACTTATCAGCACAAGGTATTTTGATAAATTTCTTATGAAAAACAAAAGAAAAAACCGATAAATGTATAATTATAAATACATACATTCAATAAATAAACTACCCGGAATCAAAAGAAATGTTTTTTCTAAAATTTGGATCTCTACAACTTTTTCAATTAATTAAGAATACAATTTACTGACTAGGTCACCCTTAACAACCTGTTCATCACACAGTATATTTGCTAGATAAGGTATTGTAGAGCTTTATACCTTCGTTTACGTGAGTGTATTCTAATGTATTGACGTCTCATTCTACCAGAAGATATACAAGGAGAAAGATATGAATGAAGTGAATAGTTAGTTTCTGATAAGACAACATCTGTCAGAAGTTTGTACATTAGATGTCTATCCACAACCATATAATTAATGACTTTGAAATATTTGTTATACACCCTGCTAAATATCGTCAGCACTCTTCAATATAGCAAAGTGTTTTCTCAAAGCCTGAGACAGAAAGAATGCAGAACAGTAAAGAATAATAGGTAACATGCAATAGTTAACATATCGAAAGAGTAAATATCGAGTAATGACAAAAGCATGTAGCCTCTTTATGTAATAAGTCAGACGAAAAAATCACTCCAATAGCAATAAAACATGAGAAGACCAAGAGAGATCAAAGGAAAAACTTATACCAAGATAGATGACCTTCGACATTGTATTTATTAAGGAATCTGCAACAGTTTTATGGGATTCCAAAAGGGTGTTTAAGTGCTGTTCATGTTCCAGGCTAAAGTTAACAGTTTGATATTTAGACGGATTAAGTGTGAGACATCTAAATAATGTTAATTCTATCCGCTGCATATTTTCAGCAACCATGATGTCTCTGGTTGGGCTTTTTTGTAACTCGTACAGCGGAAGGTTGTAAATTTTTCATAAGTGCACCTTAATGGGTTGTGCGATTAAGAAACATAATGATGTGCTAAAACAAGCAAAAACAAATAACTTGCTGAAATATCTAGAGAGGTAGCCCAGATATTCAAGAAGACCACCATTTATCTTGTTCGATCGTACTAACATTTTCGGTATGACATAAGTTGAGAAGGATTTCGTAAAGATGCTCGTGAGTGGGTGATATAGGACGTCAGCACACTTTTCAAAACGCAGGTTAAGGATTTCATCAGGCCATAAACATTGGGATGAGTTGAATGACGGTGGACGTTTTCTGGCATCAGTTACAGTGGAAATCGGAACTCAACCATTTTTCAAGCCTATGGATATCGGCAGCATGACATCAGTTGACTGAAGGGCAAAAGACTTATCTAAGTCACAGACATTCAGCTGAGTATCACCCCTAATGTGTCTTCCACCTGCAAGCTCTTTAAATAGTTTCCACAAACTTGAAGAGTTTTAACAAGATAGGAGTTTTTGAGTAAACGAATGGTTCAGACATCTAATGTTTAGACTTATTAGAACATTTATATTTCGAGCTTCCATGAAGTTTCCTCCCTGTACATTATATTTTTACCCTTCATAATCGTTTTAGTTGTGGAGATGTAAGTCGATCAAAACTTACAAAGATGGTTTCAGTAGGACAACAAACATTAGGACAGAATTTCAGATAATAAGTGATAATATCAGTAGTGTTTTCCAGTGACTCATTTGTAAATAATTCCCAGTTAGTCGCACAAAACTTGGTTTCTAGATTTGGGATATTTTCTCCTGAGAAATTTCTGTATTTGACTTTTTTTGTCCAATGTAAGAGTGCGTTTTTTCCAAGCTTGCCATATGCTTTAGGTAGAACACGAATTATACAATGAAGAACGTTTACGGGTCACTTATATCTCCACATAATTAATGAAAACTAAGTCTAAATGATTAGCTAAACGAGTGCGAAAACCTGCTACATTTTTGTGACCTAGTGACGAAAGGAAGCTACAGTCACACGAATTAAAATCACTACATACCATTGAAAGTGAACCACTAAAGGCAGTAACGGCGAATTTAGTGAATTTACTAGCGAAAACATATGGTGCACATGATGTGCAGTCTAGAGTCACATGAATGTTGGTAACATGAACATGATTGTATTTAATCAAGTGTTTTGGACGGCATCTTAAAGTTACACAGTCAAAAAGGTCGTTTGAAAACTTAAAACACGCAAAAGTAGATCGATACCACTTCATATTTACGAATGAAGCTACACCGCCGCCACACATTTTTTTATTGCCTGAACGATCCTGACGATAAATATTGAAACCTCGCAGTGATAGTAAACAACAGATTTATTTTCTTATGATGAATCAGTTGGGAGTAGAAATATTTTAACATTGATACATGAAAGAAAGCACTTTGGAATGAACATTTAAACAAAACTAAAATTTCATATACTGAAAAATCCTAGTAGCATCTGGAAAAAGTAAGAATTATGTATTATAATTTGACTGGATAATAACTATTTTTGTGACCAAATTTAGTGTTTTCTAAAATTTCTAGAAGATCAAAGTCACCTCTTAACATCAAACAGAGATAATAAGATAACACATATGAGGACATAATCTCACTATGAGAAAGGAATATCATACATGTAAATAAATAATTTATAATTTAATATCAATAGTTGAGACCATGAGTCAATTGAAGCTTAACCACCATGGAAAACCTGGGAGTACTGGGACTTCTCAGAAGTGCATATCCACGATCCCGCTGGCCGGATTCGAACCCAGGACCCTCCGTCTCGCACGCGCGCGCTTAACCTCTAGACTGCAGAGACGGTATCCAACGGTGTTAATGTTTAACTTCAATCAACCCACGATATTGCCCGACCATCTTCCATTGTCTTCGGTGGGTAAATGCTTCACACCTGACATGATTGAACTCCACTGATCACGGCTTCTGATAATATTAAATTACTACAATCTCCAGAAAACCCCGTTATGATAAAATGATTTATGATTTGCATGAATTGCATCTTAAACTGAGATTGTGTTTATATATATATATAATACGTAAGTTCATTAATACGAAATTCACACAACTAAATACTCATAATAATAATAATAATAATAATAATAATAATAATAATAATAATAATAATAATAATAATAATGGTGATAATAACACAGAAGCAAATAACTCACAGCTATTTCATCAAACGCAGAGAATTGAAGAGTTAGATACTTATCAACCGGTGGTCGAAGATAAAAACATATACCACTGGCCTTTATATATTCCAATTGTCGTACACAAGAAATATAAGCTAGACGAGCCTGAATTTCTGTTAGACTTGGGATCTACAGTTTGAACAATAACAACAACGGCAAAATTGTTTGTTATATCAAATCAAATCAAATCGTTAATGTTGGGGCTGACTAATATGAAGTGTTAACTTGAATCAGTTTATAAGCGAAATGAAATTGTGAAATAAATTATCAAAATAAATATGGTTAACATGGGGTAAGAGAGAGAGAGAGAATATTGTGATCACAAATCGGAAATTACGTAATATGTAAAATAATATGAATTAGGTCAAACATAGTAGATTCAAGGGTGGATATTGAATAAATTCCTCAAAAAAGATTACCAAGTGTAAAGACAATAATAATAATAATAATAATAATAATAATAATAATAATAATAATAATAATAGTAACAGTAATAATAATAGTAAGTTTGGGACATAAAATGAACATTAATCAGATTACGTCATCACATTATAAGATTGATTATTAGCTAGTTGGCCCCAGAGTTGGCCAGGGTAAAAGGAGTGGCTGAACATACTTTTTTGGGTACAAAGCTCTGGCTTTTTGATCCGAATAGCAATTGCTTCAGCCGTCTGTAGGATTCGCCGTCTGACGGAATTAGGTAGACTGCTGTTAACATGATAGATTATTGTAAAAGATTGCTCCATGTTGGCTGTATGTCCTGTTTGGACTAGATGGTCTAAGATGGAGCTGCTAACAGTTTTGACAACACCTTTGCTTAACCATACGGGTAGGTGCTCACGAGCCCGAATGTACGAATTCCTAGAACATCTGCCAATATAACTTGCTCCACAGGAGCAGTTGAATTGATAAATACAGGAGTTGGCTAGACTAGGTAATTTATCTTTCAACCTTGGAGTGATTATTGGTCGTGTGGCGAATACTAGTTGTAGTTTAGCCGCATTAAAAGTCATTTGAATTGATCTGCTTAACTTGAGTCTTAGCATTTCGCTCGGTGCGTCGCCTCTGAATTGTAAGCGTATATATAGAGGCTTTTTATTTACCGTTAGACATTCTCTACGCTGTCTTTTATTGGCTATGTTTTTATTTATAAATTTCTCAGGATATCCATTTTCCTTCAGGGTTTGAATAATGCCTTTATTTCATCTTCAATCGCACCCACAGTGCATATAGTCATGATTCTATGATGTAGTGTCTTAATAAGGTTCCTTTTTTGTTATAGAGGAACAAAACTAAGAAAGTTAGTATATTTACCCGTCCAGGTAATTTTCCTGTTTATGTTTCTTTTTAGCGACCCGTCCTTTCTCCTTGTAAGTAGAACATCTAGAAAGGCTATTCTACCCTCATTTTCCTTCTCCCATGTGAATTTTATGGACGGGTGAACGGTATTGAATCGATCGAATGTTTCTAGGAAGTCTGTCTGGTTGTTGCAAAGGATAAATTTATCATCCATATATCGACAGTAAAACGAAAACTTATCGATCTCTTGTGCTAGCGGGTCGTTTTCTAGTTTAGAAAGGAAGATGTCTGCTAATATGGGACCCAGGGGTGAACCCATAGCTACACCATCTATTTATCTGTATATATATATATATATCATTAGGTAGCTAGCTGATCAAGAGTCGCAAGTTATGACATGATTCCACTATCGGAATGGACGTCATAGAATAAATAAGTGATTAATAGGAAGTTTATTTTGCAATAACAGTTATGTTGACGTTTAGTGTTTTTAATAATTTGTATAATATAAGCGGGCTGAAGAAAATACACTAAAACAGACCTAAAATATCGTAGAAGGAAAGAATATACAACAGTTAGATTAAATACAGGTAAAATGGGATTAAGATAGCGTGTCAGGACAAAATGTTAATATTTAAAAAATTCTGATTCGAAGGTTATACATAAGAAATGAAAGTTATGAGGGTAGACAGATAAAAATGTAAAACTGAAGATGAATGAGTATACAACTAAGTTATACCAAATGAGTTTTCACTAGCTGCATTTACCATGTAAAATTAATCTTATATAAAATGATTTCCTTCAAATTATTGACTTTCTTTACGCGACTGATACGCTATCGAATATATCTCTATGATGTATAATGAATAAATTAATTCCTTATTAAGCTTTGCTTCAAGTATTTGAGTTAATGTTTACATAGTCCTTACAGAAAACACATGTGATTATATGACAACCATTCAACTGCACTTCAATTATATCGATGAGATAAGTCGGTAGAAACATGTGTGTTGCATACTAACAGAAAAAGCTCTGTACATTTAGGCTAACTAGTACAGCCTGAATAGAAAAGATGGAATTCAACTAACCAACCCTTGGGAAATGCTTAGTAATAAGTAATTTGAACCTTATTACAACCCACCTAGTGTATATCAAACTAATTTGAATCTTTTTACATCACAACTATGTATCTTACGTTTATCCCTTTACATACACATTCAAGTTTTAAAAACATCTTTCAATTTGTACTAGTAGTTTTATTTTAATAAACAAAATGAACATGTCATTGGTAGTACACAGAGACTGGATTTATTCACTAAATATTAACTATTAATAACATAAAAGAACACATATTCATTATTTTTCACATTGTGAACTTTTCACAATGTTCACATCTTATAAGTTCATATTTTATTATTTCATAAAACTAACATATGAATATGATAAGATAAACTTTTAGTTTACGTTTAAGTGTTAAAAGTTGAATACTCTTTCCTAATTTTGATTTCGACTACTACCCCGAACTTTTCCAGATATGGTAAATATAATATTTACAAATAAATTCTTCTATATATGCGGTGTCCAATTTCTGTCAAACGATTCGCTCAAACATTCGCGAATATTTATGTAAATTACACTATGGTGAAAATCTACATGTTTATGGTATGTCAGTGAAAAGTATACATAAAACTCTCGTAGAAATTGTAACTTTTGGATAAATATGGATAACGGAATAACAAAACGAGGTTCGTCAGGATCATGCGACATACTGAGAAAAACCAATCTAACATGCATATTACTAATTCCAAGATATGGATACCCATTAAAAACATGAACCAATAAGATTTGCTACATATTCAGTACATTCGACGGATGACCTCATCACCTAATTAATTCAGAAATGAATAAAATAACTTTGCGTTGAAACGACAGATGAAGTCAGAAGTTAGTAGACCGTACTGATCAGCCGATACTATGTCTTAATCTGATGTCAATTAAATGGATGTAGACTAAAGTTATCAGAGATTATGATCCAAAGATAACAAAATGGTTAAAAATTAATGGAATAGATAATTTCGACAATGCTTAGGATGAAACAGTAAAGCACTGAAGAGAGAAGGGTAGTTGAATTTTGTAGGATTACTTTAAATATCTTAACTATGGGATGACATTGGTACAAAACACCGGTAAAAATAGATAGCATATGACATTGAAAAACAAGGGGTAAAATGATATACTGAAAGGCTAATAGCTGGTCGGGGAATATAAAGTTTCAGGGAGTGTTGCCTACTATATTAAGGCGAAAGATAGGCGTGATTAGACAAGAGTTTAAAGTCTACGGACAAAAAAAACAAAATATGGAGTACGTCAAAATCTATGATTAGATTTTTTAGGATAGATTATCCAGATATGGCCATGATAGATCATGTTTTTTAATTAGGTTATCTAAAAACTAAAGTGCAAATGAAGAAGTATATAAAACGAGTTACGACTGTATAATTAGTCTAATAGAGAACAATATAGTTGCGATCATCGTTGTCTCCGAAGGATTGCTGACATCTAGTGGCAACACCATGTTAGTAATGCAGAGGCTCGACATCGTATGTTCGGCCACAGCAACGATAATGCAATTGGTGTCACTATCTTGAAACCTCGACTTCGGTGGCTTAGACATGTTCTACGAATGTCTACCTAGAGAGTTCCACATAATAAGTTATTCGAGGACGCTGGGACTGTTTGGGAAAAGCGAGGAGGTGGTCTGTGTATGACATGGTGTCGCGGTATGAAAGAAAACTGCACAATATTGGCTTCTGTTGGTCCTTCATAACTACCTGATTGGAGCCTTAGAGATGATGCAACATAGTGGTTTGGGACTCTATCAGATGTGGCTCAAAATAGAAGCCAGTGAGGATCCTGTATCATCCTTATTTAGTTACAACACTGAGATCAAACGTGTGGTTACCTACACAATTGATTTTTATCAATAACTAAATAAGAACTGGTGACTGAATATGTCTAACAAATGATGTCTCTGAGACTTATATTTTTAACACTGTACACTGACGTTGGCAACGATTGTAAAAATAGTCACTGCACGACGTAGTGCTCTAAAATGAAAGATTGTTAAGTTTAATAACAATTTATTCATCCAACATCACTATGTATATGGGATGTAGGATATAAGATGACTAAGTGACTTGAAATATCACCAAGTATGATTCAAAATCTAAATCAGTACTACTAGGATTACATATAAACGGCAAACTCAAAGATTTACTGAAAACAAAATCATCAGGGTTTTATCAAATTTTACTTCTAATTACTTCAGAAAAAATTTCAAGTCAAAAGTGACCATACAAGCGAGAAGTGGATTAGGCTAGAACTTTCAATGATACCAATACATCATTGTGTGATTTTTGAATTTAAGTTACCGTTAATTTTCGCAAGTAGTAGTTATAATCTATCAGTACTAGGGCATAACAGCTCACTGGTAATTGGTAACCTGATGTTGATTAATAAGTGGATATGTACTATTTAAAACATATGTAAACGTGTAAAACAATAAATGGCTTTCACGACTGCAAAACGTGATTTCTTCTTCCGATTCATCGAATGACAAATTAAAAAAAATATCTTACGAATAAAATATTTATTGCTTTCAAAAAAGATTGATTTGGATACTTACACGTAGTACAGGAGTGCCGATTCTGAAATATCGATTGTATAACAAATACCAACCAGATAAATGATCACCATAATTTGTAAGCTCTGTCTCTACAGCAGCACCAACATCACTAGCAAAGATCGTTTTCGCACCGAAACATACCATCACATCAGCTGAATGAAACAAAACAATTCATTAAAACAAAACGGTATTAAATAAGTAATGAACATGGGACTTTTTAAAACGAATTAAGCGATCAAATTAAACCTATTGTTAAAAAACTGGTAATACTGTTACCACACACAAAGTATAAACACTATTCTTAACTCTGTACTATTTAAATGTTAAACATAATGCATTCAGCAGTTTACAATTCAATATTGTTAGAGAGAAAAGTATGGTAGTAGTAAACATAATTGGTATGTGTAATTCGAAAGCGGTCCTAATAACTGAATTGGTCTTAACCAAGGAAAATGTTAGCAAATGGAACTCTGAAGTCGTAGTACACCAATAAACAGTGGTATTTTCTAAAAATAATTCTCTAAATCATGCATAACCATATCAAGAGTAATAAATATCTCCAGCATGCCGGTTAATGATACATGCAATTAAATATTCTGTATTCTAGTTTATTCTATCAAAGCAAACCCTATATATATATATATGCTGCTCTATAGAATTCAATAAAATAGGCATTAAACAATTGGAATGAATTCGTTAAATCAAACATTGATTAGTATGTTAACAAATCAAACCACAAGATGATGATGACGGTAAAGTTAAATGATGCTAGACAAAATAAAATATGGATGCCAAGTAAAATCAGAGAAACTATAAAACGAAACAAATGTTGAATGAAAATGAAGCAAGTTAATAAAGGTGTTACAAACATTTGTGAACTCATTTAGGGTCATAAACCGATCAATGTTAGGTCACTACTGAAAACATGGAAGCTCTGGACGGCGGTTTTGTCCATTATGGGACACCTAAACAGTAAGCATCCACAACCCCGAACGCGGGAATCGAACCCAGAGCCGGTGAACGCCTGACTTTTAAACCACTGAGCCGAGATCTAACAGTGTTAATGTCTAACTTCAATCAATCCAAATTTATTGTCTGCTCAAACATTGGTTGGTTTGTTTAGTGACTAACTACTGAACGGGATCGCCAAATTGTTCCAAGTAATTGAACCTAATTTGGAAGTGCAGAATATCTTCAAAGAAATATTTCTACAACCTATTTGTGCTACACACTGACTATACCAAATGCAAATAAAACTTTATACAGAAAACTCTTAAAGATCATTTGTCGAAATTGATAACCAGTGATGAATGTTGTTTGGACTTTCTGTAAATTTAACGAAGCAAATCAATTGTGTCATTGAAGAAAAAAAATAAAGACAATTCAACGAAAAAGCGCTTTTTAGACCTTAAAAGTTTCATGAATCTGAATGGGCACCCATTTATGATGAGTGAATGCTGGAGTTTAAATAGTTTGTCAGCTATTATGTAATTGGAGCATATTACCTCGGCCATCAAAGATAAAGAGTTTCTCTTTCTGTTTAGCAAGACTTAGTTTTGCAAATTCATATACTGACCATCCAAGTTAGTAGAGTGTATACAGACTTTCATAAGGAACTATCTGACTTTTTCTCAATAAGATACCAAGGAAAAGAAATTTTAAATTCATCTCTGCTTCAAATGTGAACTTAAAGGACTGATGATATTAAAGTCCATATTTTTGTCATATGAAAACAAAATCTTCTCTGAATTGTCATTTTTTGCAATTATATTCATAAGCGGATGATAATCTTATTCACTGAATAATTCATAATTGCCAAGTTTAAATCCAAAACTAAACGATTTCATCCAAACAGATTAACTGAAAATTTATTTATGTATTGACGAATATCTACCATAAAATAGATGCACCAAAAAACTAGGCCATATAAGTTACGAAATTTAATGTGTTGGGTTTTGGTGTTAATAATTACCAATAAAAAAATGGGTATAAACAGAACGATACTAGTAGTCTACTAAGTAAAATAGTGAAAATATGTAGCATGTCGTTACCCCATGATACCATTAGGCTTACTTCAAATTAGGATACTACTGATTATAAATAGAATTATTATACATTTCTTGAATATGTTGAAGTCTGTTAGAGTAGTGGCTATTGAATCATATATAGTACTTCAGAACAAATATTAAACAAAACTGATGAAAGTAATCAGTTATTACATACATACGCTATACACCAAGTCATATTACTATCATTCTAAAAATGGACGTAGATCCACCACGATTTTGTAAGCAAAGAAAACAAATTTATTAACTATATATAAACAACTTACTAGACTACTAATATTACTACTAATAAATCTATCTTAAAGGAAATATTTGAACAAGATGATTGATAGTGTGGATATGCTTGTTCTTTTGCTACCGAAAGAACATCCCTACAGGTAATTCCCATATGATCCAGTCTAACTAAGCGTATCAACAAAGTTTGATATTCGTTTGGAAGTATTTCCATTTTACTGAAAATAATAATCACTAGTAAACAGTAAAAGAACGTTTTAGGAATTGATTCTTATAGAAAACAAATGTAACGTATGAGTTGTCATTTAATTTAAGGAGATATTTCGGGTCCCGCCCTATGATTCCTGATAGTATCACATATGATACGAAAAAAATTGTTCAAGGAAAGTGAATAAATATTTATTATTATTAACTGGTTTTACACACTTGGATTTTAAATTCAATCAAATAATAACCACCGTTAAATTACAATTTTCTTATTTGAAACTTACAGATCACGACTAAAACTGAACATACTACTTAAATTGTATGAAAAATTACTGACCTGGTAGATTGTTAGTATACCCACCATCCAACAATAAACTTCCATCGTAAGGATCACATAATGGTGGCAAATAACCAGATAATGACATGCTTGCACGTACATATCTCCAAGACGATCCTACATGTATGTGTATGTACGAATCATGTGTATGCGGACACATCATACATAGATATTAATAAATCAATGAATAAGTAAAAATGTGAATAAGCATGAAAATGATTCGAAACATCAAATGTTTAATTGAAATCAATTGGAAGAAATGAAAAAGATAAAAAGCTATTTAATTTTTAGGCAATAAACATAAATAAGTAGATAGATATTCACTGTTAAAAAGCAATATTCTTATAGCAAGATTAGTAAGCGGATTCAATTATTAGACATCTATTTATTGTGCATATGTGAATATAAACAGATTACATTTTTACGGGCATGCTATCTATTGTTACTGAATTAGAAATTTCATTTGAATTACATATTATAATGTCGCTCTTTGTGAATCACCATGTATTAGTGAAATGATTTTGATGTTATGATAAATAAATTGAGATTTTGATGGTATTGTTTTACAGCAACACTACCTGGAACATTGTTCAAGAAACTACCGTCAGCCAGTAAGGCACCATCATATGGATCACAAATGGGTGGGTCCAATGGTGGATATGTTATAGCACCACGAATATAACGCCAAACAGACCCTAAATAGTGTCGTTATGAATAGGATATGAAAAATTCATTATTATTCTTTTGAAAATAAGCTACCGATCTACATAGTTTATCAAAGGTGAATTAATAACGTCTACGATTGACCACGAGCAGCAGGTAAAACAAATCACATGGAATAAAACACAAAATATAGTAGGATAATAAATATAGAAACTAATCCTGAAAGGAACTACAAAATAGTATCAAAAACGACTTTTGAAAAACTCCTACGAATGCGGATCCACAAATAGAGCTATTTATAGAACAGAAAGAGAAATGATCACCCTAGTTTTTGGTGGAGAACAAAACTCCACCAAAATCATCCACCTGAGCTACAAATCTTCTCCACCATCTCAAGATCACCCTAGTGGTAGAAAACAAGTCAACTTCCACAAAGTATTCAAATTTAATTTAGAAATGGAAAATCATAAAATTTGTACATAGAACAGCTGGGAAGTCTTTAATCGGACAATAAATTGAAAATACATTTAAAATAAATTTATGAAATCTAATATATTTAATATAACTACTGATATATCCTACTAAGTAAATGTAAAGCTGAAAGATGTCACTTTAGTGGAGGCTTTATTGTTCAAAATTTATTCTGTTTAAGGAATCTACTTTATCCAAGTATTCTAACTATGAAATTCTAAAACAAGCAATTCAACAACAGGTAGAAATTAAAATAATAATAAAAACAACATTTCATTAATCCAATACGACCAATTAAGCATAGAAACATAAACACAAGTGCTCATTGAATCTCATGAAACGTCCAAAGGAAATCAAATATTTCCATTTGTACCATATATATTGATTTATGTGATATTCATTAAATATGATTTTATTTCACATATATTTAATCCGATATGATGTCCATAATCATATCAAGTTATTGAACTTATTAGAAAAGAAGTCAAATTATAAGTTCAGTAGATAAGATGACAATAAATATGTTCAGAACGTGATAAGCGCTCTCAGTGAAAGGAGATATTATGATGAGATACTAACCGACAACACAACAATTACTATATTAAGTACAGTTATTTCTAATAAATCAGTGAGCTGCTATACACAGGATTATATAAAAAGAAACAAGAAATTAACAGATATTAATGTCCATACAAAGAGTGTCACAGATGAATTAATACAGTGAATTAAGCAGTTTTTGAGTAAACTGGAATGATTTTTCTCTGATTCTTTAAACTAGTTAACTAAGAAGCATATATTGTACCAGTACAAGTAGTTCATTCGATCAACCTATGAAATGTGCGTTTAAATTTAGAAATATCTTTAGATATAAACACTGTCTACAACTTTAATTTATACTATACTGAAGAGAGACCACAAAATATGACGAATCCACTTTACTAAGCCTTAATTATTTTTTTAGCTTTGTTCAAATTCAAAAATAGAACCAATTATATGGAATACAAAATAAACTTGATCATGAGAAATACCAACCCTAATCATATTGGACGATAACCTATGCCCCTGAATTCATCATTTAGTGAAAAAGTAAGTTTCTTTTTCTTAAAGGTAATAAACGAGCACATACGACTAGTTTGAATAGCTTATTTCAAACAGCTGTTTATTAAGAAGATTCGTGGATACCAGACAGTTTGAAAATACACATAAACATTTCTATTCAAAATCAGTCAGTAAAAAAATACTGCTACATCACGATGGCTTCCAAACATTATTACATAAATAGTAAAAATAACCAAAACAAATCACTACTATGTGATAAATTATTTTTACCTTGTGTATGAATACGCATTTTACAATTTGTTATATCTGTTGTTACACAAAAGAAAGGAAGCCAAAAATCTTCAATTTGACGGTCATGAAATGTCGATTGAAGTTGACGATTAAGTTCTTTACCTATTAAAATAATGACAATAAACGTATAAATAGAAAAGTAAACGATACAGGTGACCTCTTTAAACTATTTCTGAGGGTAAGAGATCTTTTGACTTTGTAGAATTTACTGAATAATGTTACGATTGTAATTTGCTATATTCATGAAATATACAAGTGAACGTATATATTCCACCAAAAAATTCATTTAAAATAAAATTACAGAGTATTAATGTTTGAAAATAATAAATGCACAAGAAATTTGGGTATCTTGGAGAACGTGATACCTCTAGGCCACTAAAATGAAATACTATGATTTATATTCCCAACTTCAAAGAATTCAATGTACATTATGAAGATCACAAAAATATCAAGTAGAAAACATACGTCAGTAGTAAAATACTTGGAAAATATATATTGATGCCTAAGAAACAATGAATATATTTTATTAATTTTGTAACTAATAAACAGTCTAATTGAAATTATTTACTTTAATTAATATACATAAGCAATACTAATTTGATTAAAATACTAACTACATTGAAAAGCAAATCACAAAGCGACTAAGTGTAACGATGTATCAAAACGCTGATATCTTACAAGAATAACCAGGAAAATTCACTTTTCACTCTTAAAAAGGCTGGCAGTTCAAGCTTTCACAAGCGATAACATAAAACAAATAGCAAATAATAAGAGAAATCTCCTCTTTTACGGATCCAGCTATTCACTAATAAAGTCAAGATAGAAAAATAACATATAAGGATAATTAATTAATTAATTTTATCAGATGTAACTGATTTTCAATAGTCGTTTGGTCATAAGTAACGTAAGATCGAGTAAAAGAGTGTATAGGCACAATACACACACATATATATAAACACAAAATATTAACAAGATTATACGTAAATGAGCAGAAACAATGAAATCGATCACAATGCAAAACTAAATCTAAACATTATAGGACGAAATCGACGAGTAAAACTGAAGAATGAAAATTATGGAATGGCAATCAACCCAAAATTTCAACTAAGATAAATAAAGAATTTAAGTGCGTGGATACGATTGGCTTTTGGACCATGTGCTACCTAACGTCTTAACGCGTATATTACGATGTTAGTGTGGATTCTGTGTAGACTGGTGGCAAAGGCTAGAATAAGCAAATAATGATTTTATCGCAGATTACTGGCCGCTAGGCCCTGGATGCTTGTCGAAAAATATTCATATTCCAGCTAATGAGTAGTGTATTAACATAGATAGGTAACTGAACGTATGAAACACATATCCAAACCCAAGCAATTGATTCTCTCCACAAAAAAAAACAAGAGCAGAAATATTTACAGAATAGAATTAATTTATTCCACTTAACTGCTTTCTCTTCAACAGTATACAGGCTAATATACTGATTTATTCCCAATCAAATACATTTTACTAAGTGTATAAAATGATTCAATATGAAATGAAATCAAAGTACTATTTATTAATAACTATTGTTATCCAAAAAGGAAAAGAAATCGAAACATTCTGCACTTAATTATATTAGACGATAGATAACATTATGATTAGAGATAGTATGGAATATATTACGCTTTTAACATATTATATTAATAGTTTATACTTGATGAACAAAATATTTTGCAAACATAATTTAATCGTTGAATGAATGAAATTATTTATTTAACAAATTGAATAAAAATTAATTCTTTAAAATAACATATAAAAATCGCATATTCAATCCTCTGCCCAAGACATGCAATCCGCACTTAATCAGTTGACAATCAGTGTCCGTAGGTACGGTAGGTGCTTTGCACCTTCGAAGTGCAAACTACATTACAAGACTGACAGGATCCTGATCCTGCACTCACCCTGAGTGGTGAGCAGATAGAAGTAGTCGAGAAGTTCGTGTATCTGGGTAGCTACACAAGTGCTGGTGGTGACGTGAGTGATGAGATCAATGCACGTATAGTGAAAGTCAGAGAGGACTATCCCAATCTCGGCCATCTTTGGCGCCTTCGTGATTTCAGTCTGGCTGCAAAAGGTCGGATCTACAACGCGTCGGTGAGAGAAGTTTTGCTCTATGCTTGGGAAACCTGGCCTCTCCAAGTTCACGGTGTTAGATGACTCTCTGTGTTCGATCAACGTTGTCTCCGAAGGATTGCTGACATCTAGTGGCAACACCATGTTAGTAATGCAGAGGCTCGGCGTCGTGTGTTCGGGCACAGCGACGATAATGCAATTGGTGTCACTATCTTGAAACCTCGACTTAGACATTTTATGGCTTAGACATGTTCTACGAATGTCGTCCCAGAGAATTCCACGTCGTGCATTATTTGCCGACTCTGGGACTGGTTGGGAAGAGCGGAGAGATGGTCAGTGTATGACATGGTGTCGTGGTATGAAAGAAAGCTGCAAAGGGCTGGCTTCTGTTGGTCCATCTCAACTCCCTGGCTGGAGTTCGAGAGATGGTGCAACACAGTAGATAGAGACGTTATCAGATATTGCTCAGAATAGAAGCCAGTGGTGATCCTGCTGTAACCTTCTTTTATTTTCCTCATAAAAAGTGGTTGTAACTTCCTTAACTGAAAGAACTTTTTCTCGTTGTACCTTTCCGTTTCCCCCATTTTTACTATTATTACTATTATTATTATGGCATAACCACATACTAATCTGTGGTTGTTATTGTTTTTTTCTTTCTTATACGCACCTTACATTCTTTTTCTCTTCCCATTCTCATTGTTTTGTGTGGCGCATATATATCTGGTGCCCCCTTGTACCAATATTTATGTGTTCAAATAAATAAATAATAAATAAATAATCTGCAACACATTATATTAACATTATCAATAATACGAAATAATTATTTAACTAATATGATAAGAATATAATTTTCTATATAAACGAAGTAATCCCTACATATATACATTTTAGCTTAAGGAAGTTTAAACCACAGTTAATTTTATTTACTCATTCTGTGTAAATAATTAGAATAAATAAATATGAAAAAAATAAAACTGCTATTTAACTACTGTGTACACACAGTAAGCATATTTTAGGAAATAGTACAAGTGTACCACCAATATAAGAAATTTAGTTAGGCAAGCAATAGAATAATGTTATATATAATAAACACAAATGGATTTATATTATTATAGATATGAATTTTTATCAATTGTCTTTCGTTTTGCTAATATAAAGCTAAAATTCGACGGAGACATAGCTAGAGATGTGTGGCATAATAAACAAGCTAGAGCAGTGAAAAGGGTTTTCAATACAGTTAACATCTATTTGTCACTTTCTGGTTGACCTATGAAGGTTCCACAAATGAAGTTATTTGGTTTTGCCACATGTGTACGCATTTACGAATTCAGCTGCTTCTGATGACAAAACTATGTTGTGTTGACGACCAGACAATCCTCAATTGTGGTTTAGAAAGGGTATGAAAAAAAACAATTTACAACTCTGTCCCATTTAACATGGTCTATAGTGGTCAAGGTGAAGACAAAAACAAAGCATTCATAGAGATTTATCGTACACTTTCAAGTTTCAATAGTGTGGTTCGATATCACCTGTCGAATATAGCAGAAATCACAGGGATTAGGAATAAGAATCCTAAGTTCTGTATGAGAGAGGAATTGGTAATAGTCCTGTCTCATGTTTAGCCGAGCAAGACATAATAAAGAACCTTAAACATTTTCACATAGCTTATTTTTTCTTCATCTCTGCAGTATCACTTTCCTAATAACTTTGTTCGCACAGTTTACAACACGAACTGATTTTAGCTAGACCACTATTAAAAAATTAAAAAGCGATGGATGATAGGAGATCGAAGGCTCTAGGTTCGACCTCTGTTTGGGTCGGGGATGAGCACTACTAGAGAATCCTATACTAGAACGAAACATCAGTCCAATGATACCTGTTTTTTAATAGCGATCGATCTATGATGCACACAGTAAAAGCCTAACAACCTCATAAAATGTCTTGACTGACCCAATATTTATAAGTATCCATGTAAATATTACTGTTATATATATATATATATATATATATATATATATATATATATAATTCAGGTTCTTACCAGAAAAAATCGACACTGCAGGATAAGTGAAGTCTTTTATTTTTTTCCATATAGAATTGAAACAGTTAGTGAAATTTCTAGCTCTTTGAGTAAACTGTGCAACACGAGTTTCATCAGCCCATAAAGCACCCATAAAAGAGCCAATACTTGTACCACCAACTAAATCAATTGGAATCCCAGCTTCCTGTTTAATTAAAGCGAAATTTATCGAAAACATATTATAATAACAAAACGTGACGCTTACAAACTTTAAACATGTTTAATGATAATTCAAAACAATAATTATACCGCTCATATCATAAGTAATACTATAATTTTAGTACAGGTTTTCTACGGTCATATGGTTATCAATTTTTAAGTGAAGTTTGCTTTATACAGAAACGAGATCATCATATATCATTGAAAAATGTTATTTCACTCAAGAATTTCAATTTAGTTTTCTTCTGAAGTTTCTGACTTCGATTAGCAAATTGTATAAGATTAAAAATAACCATACCTATGTGTATTACACAAACCCCAATACGGTAACAAATAATTCAGTTTTTACGAGTATTTAAATATCCTTCTAAAAAATAAAATATCTTCAAAAATAAATACCATATCTAAATAGAAAAAAGTCACACAGTTACCTGTACAATCTTACAAGTAAAAAGTTTAATGATTCCCCGTACAATTTAGATATTAATAGGTAATTAAGAAAAATAGATTGATAATTTACTACAATAAACAATATCATTTAAACTATACCACTAAATATGATTTATTTAGTTGATAATATTTATAGCTTATCTATGATGTATTTTAACTCAGTAGATGTCAATGAAAAGGATGATACTGATGAATTTTTATCATATAATGTAAAAAACAGAAATATCCTACCATTATTATAAATGTCATATTTAAGATCAAAAAAACAAATTGTTTGATAATGAATAGTTTTAGAAAAATCTTAATGCAACATCAGTCAAATATCAAATTGATACAAAAGTAAAAATACAATATTTAATAAGCTACCGATTTTATATTGAATGCAAATATATACATATATAGATATACATATATCAACATCTTCGTGGAATCCAAATGCTCTGGTATGGCCGAGAGCGGGATGGGTTCGCCCTCCCTCTCGAAATACTCTCACACAGCCGCGCGTATACAGCCTCTGCCAGGGAAGTCCTACTCACTGCCTTCTCGTGGCAGGGGTGTTGTTTACGAAAATGAGAGGACGAAAAGCGAATGTCCGGCGCTTTAACCGGATTCCAAATCAATGTTGCGCATGGGCTCCAGTATACTGAGGGAACAAATGGCGTATGAACCAATTTTCGGTCACCAACCACCATGGGACTGCATTCCCTTACGATGCTCCACTGCCTTGTGGGTTAGACCTTTAGGTCAAAGGCTCGGGGTGTGGCTCCCTAAGAAACCCACCTGCTTCGGTTTGGGCGCCCGGGCAGTATCACAGCCCACACACAAGTGATGAACTGAACTGTATATGATCATGGAAACTAATTCTCTGGCTTCGACGAACATTCAAATGATTCAAATATTATTATTGCTATTATTATTATTATTATTATTACTATTATTCTTATTCTTATTCTTCTTCTTCTTCTTCTTCTTCTTCTTCTTATTATTATTATTATTATTATTATTATTATTATTATTATTATCATTATTATTATTTACTACATCAATATTCACCCTCCTTTATTCCCACTCTGTCTATACTTATTCTTTTCGACTTACACAGCAGCTCGTATACGGTGAAAACTCGACTGTATCTAAACGTTCTCGAGTCACTGTCCGGTTGAAAATTGTATGTTACCACCGAATACGAGGACTGAAACCACGTGCACAATTCAAACTGGCTGCCTTCAACGTTTGCACATTTATGCAGGTCGGACAACAGATAGGGCTGGCTATGTCTTTAGAAAGTCTTAATATTGATGTTTGTTGTCTATCCGAGACCCGTATTCAAAACTCTGGTGAAGTACTACAAATTCGATCTCCATCTGTCGCTTCGAAAAGCTTGTTTCACGTGCGCTTATCCGTGGACCCTGTGGCATCTTCGTCTGGTCTTGCTGGTGTTGGTGTCGCACTAAGCGCTAGAGCTGAGGCAGCACTAATCGATTGGATCCCCATTAACAGTCGGTTATGTGCTGTTAGATTAGAGAGTTCCATCAAAGTGAGGAGAAATCAGCGTGAGAAACGATGTCTTTTCGTCATCTCCGCCTATGCCCTCACATATTGCAGCCCGGATGCAATAAAGGATGAGTTTTACCACCAGTTATCTGTTCTCCACAAAGTGCGTTCGACAGATATTGTGGTACTAGCCGGAGACTTGAATGCTCAGGTCGGGCGTCTAGGCACAGAAGAGAGTCGTTTAGGTGGCCGATGGGGACTTCTTGGTCACACGACAGATAACGGGGACCGTCTACTGCAACTTTGCACAGACCACAACCTGTTTCTGGCTAGCACTAACTTTCGGCACAGTCATCGCCGATGTGCCACCTGACGTCCTCCCTCTGCATCTCAAGCCTGGACTCAGATTGATCACATCGCGATCAGCTACCGCTGGCGTGGTTGTGTACAAGACTGTCGCTCCTTTTGGAGTACCTATCTGGACTCTGACCATGCCTTGGTCTGCGCCAATCTTGCCTTACTTTTCAGTGGCCAACGAAATGACCGCCACCAAAGGATTGATGTCAGCAAGTTGGTTGCAATTGCATGAAGCCATGAAAATGGCGGGTACAGTCAGTTGTGGGTTCGCGAAACGTCCCGCTTATAAGCACTGGACTTCTTCAGGCTTCTTACAACTCATTGAAGCCCGTCGGTCTACTCTGGGTGACCATGAGTTTGATCACAAATGAAGGTTTTTACGTAGTGAAATTGGGCAAAGCTTGCGTTAGGACCGAGAAGCCTGGTGGTCGGAGCGTGCTAATGAGCTGGAAGCAGCAGCTGCATCTGGTAGCTACCGGAAGCTCTTCCAATTCATCCGAGCCACTAGCAGCAAGAAGTCTGGTGTGAGCGAAACAATCTGCGAGGATGATAGGATGCCAATCACTAACGTCCATCGACGTCTTGGACGATGGGCAGAATTTTTCGAAGGGCAGTTCAACTGGCCTGCTGCTCCGGCAACATCGGTCAGACTGTCCTGCCCTCCATGGCTAGTGACGACTGATCCACCAAATGAGGAGGAAGTCCGCAAGGAACTCCAACTCTTGAAGCGTTACAAATCACCTGGCCCAGATGACTTACCTCCGGCTCCTTTTAAAGATGGTGGTGAATTTCCGGTTAAAGAACTGACAATGTTGTTTACAAAGGTCTGGGAGCTAGAAAGTGTTCCAGCATCATGGAATGAGTCGATAGTTGTCCCTATCTTTAAAAATAGTTCACGTCGTTTCTGTAACAAATATCGATGGATAAGTCTACTTCCAATTGCGTCCAAACTGTTGACTTCGGTCATACTTCGTAGGTTGTTCAAAACCCGAGAAAGATTGACTCGCGAGGAGCAGGCTGGTCTTCGTTCTGGTCGAGGATGTATTGATCATATCTTCACCCTCCGCCAAATGTTAGAATACCATCATGCTTATCAAAGGCCAACAATCGTAGTGTTTCTTGACATTAGGGCTGCCTTCGATTCGTTGGACAGGACTGTTCTCTGGGATCGTTTGTTAAAGAAGGGTGTGTCTGAGAAGTTTATTAACATCCTAAAGGCCCTATATACAAACACCTCAGGCAGAGTGAGGGCATACAACCACCTTCCTCCATTGTTCCATTCGGGTAGTGGGGTTAGGCAGGGTTGCCCAATCTCACCATTCCGCTTCAACTTTGCCATCGACGACATTCTAGAAACAGCTCTGATGAATGTAAGTAATGGTGGTGTGGATCTGTTGCCTGGAGAAAGACTTCTCGACCTTAAGTATGCGGACGATATTGTCTTACTGTGCGATAATCCCCAAGACATGCAATTCGCACTTAATCAGTTGACAATCAGTGTCCGTAGGTACGGTAGGTGCTTTGCACCTTCGAAGTGCAAACTACATTACAAGACTGACAGGATCCTGATCCTGCACTCACCCTGAGTGGTGAGCAGATAGAAGTAGTCGAGAAGTTCGTGTATCTGGGTAGCTACACAAGTGCTGGTGGTGACGTGAGTGATGAGATCAATGCACGTATAGTGAAAGTCAGAGAGGACTATCCCAATCTCGGCCATCTTTGGCGCCTTCGTGATTTCAGTCTGGCTGCAAAAGGTCGGATCTACAACGCGTCGGTGAGAGAAGTTTTGCTCTATGCTTGGGAAACCTGGCCTCTCCAAGTTTACGGTGTTAGATGACTCTCTGTGTTCGATCAACGTTGTCTCCGAAGGATTGCTGACATCCAGTGGCAACACCATGTTAGTAATGCAGAGGCTCGGCGTCGTGTGTTCGGGCACAGCGACGATAATGCAATTGGTGTCACTATCTTGAAACCTCGACTTAGACATTTTATGGCTTAGACATGTTCTACGAATGTCGTCCCAGAGAATTCCACGTCGTGCATTATTTGCCGACTCTGGGACTGGTTGGGAAGAGCGGAGAGATGGTCAGTGTATGACATGGTGTCGTGGTATGAAAGAAAGCTGCAAAGGGCTGGCTTCTGTTGGTCCATCTCAACTCCCTGGCTGGAGTTCGAGAGATGGTGCAACACAGTAGATAGAGACGCTATCAGAGATTGCTCAGAATAGAATCCAGTGGCGATCCTGCTGTAACCTTTTACTTTCTTCATAAAAGTGGTTGTTTCTTCCTTAACTGAAAGATTTGTTCTGATTGTACCTTTCCGTTCCCTCATTATGACTATGATTATTACTACACTCCTTTACACCAATCTTTTCATCATTGTCTTTTTTTACGTTCAACATTTTTTTTCTTCTTAAATTCTCATTGTTTTGTGTGGCGCATATATATTTGGCGCACTCCTGTACCAAAATATATGTGTTCAAATAATAATAAGGAACACACGATTGTTATTTAATAACTAAAGTTGTAAATATAGACTAATGGGTTTCGAATCACTGACGTGATAGTACCATTCCCGCCGTGAGATCTTGGTTGATTTGATTCCGTGTGAAATCGTGGATGTCTGCTACTCAAAAGTTTCAAACTAAGACGAAATAAACTGCCTGACATTCTTGGTTTTTCAATAATTTCAAGCTGAGGTGATGAAAACAGACTTCGAAATCTTTTATGTGACGACTACGTTTGTTCACTGTGGTTACATTTGTAAGAACAGACTAAAAAGACATGAACCAATTACATGATACCGAATTAATCGGTTTTAAAACATAAATCTAATATATGCACATTTGTATTGGTACAAATAATTTGTAATACTAATCAAATCGTAATCCAGCGTAATTGCAGGGCTCTACAAGAAATTGTTAAATTAAAATCCATGAATGATTGATGCAAAGGGCGAGAATAAGTTCGTTTTAATCGTCTACCAATTCATTAAAATATCAATATATCCCCTATCTATTTTTATTGTTATTTACATTAATCAGTTACTAACAAGAGAAATATTAGATAGCTACTTACACACCATAAGCTTTAGAAGTGTTTGAAAAACATAACATTGGTTTCTCAACAGAATATAAACTTGTACCTTTTTTAAAGACTTTATTGTTTTGATTTTTGATATATTATTAAAAGACGGAAGATTGTCAACTTACAATGTATATGGAAATACGAAACTATTTCTTAGCCTGTGATACAATGAGAAGTAACACATTTTAATAGGTATTTCTGAAAAAGCTTAAACTAAGCGAAAACTTTAAAATTATTTTTACTGACCAAATAATTTATTTTTGTACTTATTTACTGAGACATTACATCTCCAGTTACTCGTAGCAACCGTAGTAGTATTTCTTGAAAAAAGAATTTCAACATAAACAAAGTAGTTACTAGATTTTACAAATACAATCTAGTTATTAACATTACTACTGAAATGTAAGGCATACGTATATGTTATCAGAATTTATAAAAAAGCAATTGCTCACTTGAAAAGCACGTATCAGTCCAACATGTGAACAGCCTCTTGCTCCTCCACCGCCTAGAACAAGACCAACAGCTTCACCTACTATGTAACGAGCAAGACGAGAGAAATCAGATAGTGGATTAGGTTTTTCACGAGCAAATACTTGAGTATAAAAATTGATGAGATTCAACTTTGAACGAGGTATAAACACACGAGGTTCACAACGTATATGATAATGTTGACTAATCCATGGTCGAGCATTTAACCATACTGCAGTTTTACCGGATTCTGTATAATCTGTATCTAAAGGATACATAAGGATAAGCACTTTGGCAACCTATGTAAAGGAAAAACAACAAATAGGATGTTTTTTATTCCCATGAAAAACGTACAAGTAACCAGCATTACACTACATAAAAAGCGGACTCACCTTCGTTGGGTCATTTTTTAATGCCATCTCTATTGGTGAGGGACGCGCTGGATCAGAAGAATGCAAAGCTAAAACCAAAATGCAATCAGCTTGACGAATGCATATACGATTCCAGGCTGAAACTCGCTGACAGTCACAAACAAAGAAAACAATACGATGTGAGTCTTCTTGATGACTTAACCAAGTACTAAGTCTATACTGGCTAACGCTATCGAATGCGCATGAACCTAAACGTTTCAGTACGATATCTATGTACAAAACAACAAAAAGCAAAGATATTAGTTTAAACAAAGTTGTTAGAAGAATTAAGCAAAATAACACTCGTTTGTCGGGTTTATGACAGTTTATGTATCATTTTTATTGGGTACCTATGTCGCCAAAGAATATTATTAGGAAAGGGCGATACACTAATTGATCACTAAATAGTAACCAATGCACTATTATATACTGTTAACAGTTTATAGAACGGCTACTGATCAAGTAGAAATGTGAACATTGACCAATGTATCTCATATTGAATTGTACTTTATTTAGCGTTAGACAATTAGGGGAAATCAGTTCGAAGAGATAAACCTTAGTTTCAGACTAGTTGGTATTTGCCAGCAAGGAGTATCTGTAATTTTGTACAAACTGATGTTTTTCATGGTACATGACTCCCCACACCTAGGAGACTAACTAGTGGCCTACTACAGCAATTCAATTACAGCCAGATTATATCAGTAGTTTCATCAATGATTTTGGCACTCAGTAAGATAGGTTCAAATCTAACAGGGAACAACAATCCTTTTAACATTTCAGATACACCATATCGATGAGTTACAATTAGTATTAAATCTAAATCCTTAAAATTTTCTTGAATGCCTTCAACTGCCTAACATCAATTAAGATGCTACGAATGACCATACTCATAATAATGACGACAATATGGATGATAACCAATGTTAAAGTGTTTTATTCTAGTTTATCATGGGTATAATTTTTTTAACTAGGAACTTAAAAATTAAACAAATAAATACACGCAATCGTAATTATAAAAAAAGACGAATCAGTATGGTTAGAGTCTTAATGTGGTCACTTAATCTTTTACAGATTATTCATAGCAATTGTGAGAAAGAGAAAGAGAGAACGAAATATAATCAAAAACCGCAAACTAGGGACAAATCCGTCTTATTTCATTGGTTATAAAATTTAATAAAAAATCGATGTGTACAATATGAAAATAATCAGTAGAATATTAAGTAATCTAATTGGATTTATTTTTAGTGAAGGACAAAGGATTAAAATACCAAAGAGATAACAGAGATATCCAATTTAAATTAAGCTAGTGTAATCTTATTTTAATTACCTAAGAAAAATACATATTCTTAAATAGGTGACAACTGCGAAAACAAACATCGAAAGTTTACAGAGGATACATTTAATTTTTTGAATAGAATTATAACATTTTCCAAGAACAAATTAATAATTTTAGAAATTTGATTAGTGTGATATTGATATTTGATGACAACCAAAAATTAAGTGAATTGCCATCAATGTCCCTCCTTAAGAATTTACAATCTCGTTCAAAAGTACTAAAGTAGGCTATACTATAACAATAACAATACACAATTATAAACAAACAAGATTCGAGCTTCAGACCTATTGGTTGAATTCTTCAACTATTAGGCAACATCTTTGTACAAGTTCTAAATTTGAGTTAACCTAGAATATGTTCAGTGGAAGGAAACTGGGTTTATATTTAGTAAAATCTGTTAAAGACGGACAACTATATATCATATTATAAAAATTGGGCTACAATCGGTGGAGAGGAAAAATGAATTAAATGCACTACGTGTAATCGTTCAAACTTCTTAATTCCAAAAGCATTGTTCTCGTTACAAAATCATTACTTTCAATTTTGTATAAACTATTTTAAAAAAAACCACAATCAATGTTTATCAATAGAATATGACCTTTGGAAAAACAAACAATGGTATTCTACGTATTATCGTTGCTCGAATGATGTGAAAAATGACAAAAACAATACGCACGTAGGACGAGTTAATGTAAATATCACTGAATATATATATATATACGTCCCACATGAATATTGATAACTTGTGATATGATCACTAGCTGATAAGAAAGTGTTAAACTATGCACACAGTTATGTTGTAAACATTTGTACATTACTATAAATAAATATATATTACATACATATATCGAATAACACACAACATAATTTAATAGAAAGTAAAATGAAAAATCATACCATAACACGAAAAAGTTTCAGATTATTGAATACATTTATTAAAAATAATTAATTATAATCTTATGTATAAATGATGGATATTGATGTTAGCATATAAAGTTCTAATAAATACATTAAAATAACTTTTTAATCATTGAAAGGAATGTTAAATATGATGTCAATAAATACCTAAATATTTAGTTTATGTGACGATGAATGGATATGAAAAATTGTAATTACTTATTGCGTGCTGAAACGATGTAATTTAATAGAAGTAATTGTTTCTGTAACTTACACATAGAATTCGAAACTTTAGAATAAACCTATTAAGTAATCATACACAGCTACTGGGTTGGGTATGATAAGTAAATTGAATAAGGCCCGAAAAATAGTATTCGGATTTATACATCAAAATACACTAAAGTTCTAAATTTTCAAAGAGTAAGTAATTCCTTAGGGATATTTCATTTTTAATTTGGCCATTATCATAAATTGAAATACGTTACCGAACCAGTGAAAATCATAGAGCACAGAATAGTTCTTTTTTCCCAATTTGGAACTCCGCAGCAATCCTCACTCTCAAACTCAGAAAAAAAAGCAAGGACTACAGGTCTTGCTGGGAGCACAAAGCTTTTAAACCATTCAGTCAGAAACCAATATTCAGTCAACTTGAAACGTAGCATCAGTATCATTTAACCCAATCAGTAATTCCTGTCCTAATCTTGATATACGTGAACTCCATGGTTCAAGGCTCTTTACCGGAACATCGATAATTCTCAAAGCTAGTCACCAGTTAACATTTTAATATTAATGTAAGGGGTATGTGGATATTACTCAGTTTGAAGTTAGTTTCCAATATTGAGCGAGTTCGATTTATAGAAATGTGATAGCTGTGTACCTCGGACGAGATTAAAGCTAGAAAATGAAACGATTAAGTGATACAACTGTTTTCCGAAGCTAGTTTCGGTCCGTGATGGAAAGTAACCGACTATTTGAAGCTTTAGGTCAAATGTCTTATAGCACACATGTACCGATCAACAGTAAGTAAATTTACCATAAAATAATGTAAAATGAGTACTTTACACTTCTCGAAAAAAACTATTTTTATGTATACGAATCAATAAGACGTACAGAAACCTGATTCCAAAACTCATTCTATATTCAAAAATCTTTGGATAGTATTTCATGTGAACTGACCACACGCCCAGTAACTACTAATCATTTCTATTTTATCATATAATTTCATAATAAAGCGTTCAATCTTGTTGGATGAAAGAACAGAAAAAGGAATATACTCAATAACCCATGAAGTTAGATAGTTTCGAAGAATACAAAAAACCAGAGGATTTATTCTCGTTAGAGCTTATTACTCAATCACATTGTATCATGTAGGATTACAAATCGACCAGTGTTTTATTTATCATCTCAACAAGTAAAGAGAATCTATAAAAATGAATATGCCAAACAAGATATTCGTACTAAACAGGAGAGAAATTAACAAAATACGTGAAATAGTATTCAAATTCAATAAATAATGATAACACAAAATCTTATTGAGATCAATTTATCAACAACAAAAATAAACCTATAAATTTGTAAACACATGAAAACCAACAAATATAGAAGAAATCCATTCAAGTTTACCAATATAAATTAAATTACGATGAAGTAGAAAAATCATTAAGTACCTGAAGTAAGACGAACAGATGATCCCATCGAACTCATAGAATGTTGTAATTCCAAAGTGAATGCCTCAGCATTAATGTCAGTTGTAGTAGGTAATACAGCGATTGTACGTAGATTAGTCATAACACCACTATTCAATGGACTATATAAAACATCCAATTTGGAATTCTCACCAGTTGTATAACCTAATCCACCAGTAAGTAAAGAATTTGTACTAGTCATATGTAGAAGTGGCATACCCAATTGACTAGCCGTACTAGAACTAGTTGTTAAATTACCCAATAATTTATCCGATAATAATTGAATAATACGAGTTAAAACTTGTGGAAATTTATTCTTAAGATGATGAAGTAAATGTGAAGGAATTTGAGCCAATTCTGAATCTCTATTTTATAAAATTAAAAAGAAAAGAAAATTATTTATAAATGTATAAATAAAAACTAAACTTTATTTCTGAAATATTTTTACCACTACTAATCGATGTGATGTTCAGTAATGTATAAACTATTTTTTTTAAATAAATAAAAAATAAGATTTTGATAAATTTTCTATCTTTAGTTTGGATAATTCAGTCATGGAAATTTCATTGTTCTTATGCAGAACACCATAATCACTAGCTAACAAACTTTTCTCACCATCTAAAAGAAAACATTAGAAATAATCTTTTCATATTGTATTTTCACAAAATAGCTTAAAACTCCTTGTTGACAATTGTAAAAAAATACAATCTAAATGTATATCATGGAAAAGTGAATTTACAAAATAAATATGCTTTATTTTTATTTTATTGATTGATTTAGCATCCCATTTGTTTGTTTACTCTTAACAAAGATAATTTCTATTTATCCTATGTAAGAAAAAAATAGACAATGGTGTACAGTGGCGCAATTTCGTGGATTGGTTGAAGTTAGACATTAACACCGTTGAATGCCGGCTCAGTGGTCTAGTTGGTTAAGCGCACGCGCGCGAGACCGATAGGTCCTGGGTTCGAATCTCGCGGGAAGCGGGATCGTGGATGCGCACTGCTGAAGAGTCCCATACTAGGACGAAAAGGCCGTCTAGGTTTTCCATGGTGGTCTAGCTTCAATTGACTCATGATTTCAACTATTGAAGTAATAATTAGTTTATTCTTTCAATGATAAAGTAAATAAATTTCATTAGTCAATATTCACAATAATTCGTGATAACAAAATGAAATAAGAATTTTATTAAATAAATATCATTTGTTATAACACGTGTATTATTATCAAATAATCATCTGAATATTATTCTTCCAAATTACAATAAAATTATTATTAACTAAATATTTCGAAAGGAAATAGTACTTTAACTGGTGTTCATCATTAAAGATCATTTAAAAACAATTATTATAATTAATACAGAAGTTCTATTTCATATTTATATTATATTGTTTATTTGAATCTTCTCATTGATATTTAGGACTGCAATTAATAAGTCTCTCATTGGCATATGTGCATCCTGCGAACTTAAGACAATATCGAAGCAATTCGCAAAGGATGTATATATGCTAATAGGAGACTGATCAATTGCAGTCCTAAACATCAATGAGAAGATTCAAATAAACAATATAAAATGAATTTAAACTTCATCAAGCTGCACAAGCTAATGGCTATCAGGACTCAGTAGCTAACTAGATAATGCGATGGTGTTTAAGGTGAATGGTACTGGTTTCGAGTCCCGAAGTGAACATCAACACTGGGATACAAATACATCCAGCTAACGAGTCCAAGATAGGACGAAATGAGCATCCTGGACTCCACTGCTAGCCACCATCCATCTTTGCCTATAGTTCCTACTGCATGTTATATTAATTAGTTAATCATTGATAATCCATGAGCAATCTTGAGTGAATATGTATTCGTCAAGTTGAAAGAACTAACATCAGCATAGAAACAGATAGAGAAAACCAATAAAACGAAAAGCACAGAAAGAGAAATGACACTACGCAAAATATTAATCCAAATATGAGAAATACGGACTAAAGAAAACAAATGAGATAGATGAATGGAAAGTATGGAATGACAGTAAACTCAAAATTAGGAGAAAGATACTGAGGGCAACTGAAATAATGCTACCGATTTAAGACCATGTAATCCAATACTACAAAATATAGTTTACGGCAATTGTGAGGGCTTTAACCATTAGGTCTACACCTACAGATATGGTGGTTTAGAGTAACAATCAATGATATAATTTTGTCCGTTGAAGATGCTAACAAACTGTAGTCTTCTATACCCCTTGAGAAACGTTGCAAGAGTGTAGGAGATTTGTTATATCTAGAGCTTAGATTTTTACTATGTCGCGTATAACTTGAGCACTCGACGCTAGAACACTCCCAAGTCGCAAATGAGAAAACAGAAGACAAGTGAAAGGAATGGTATTCCAAACAGTATTAATTGTGGTACAAAGCTGTCAGGTATCTATGGTTTTTAGTAAAAACGAAATCATCATTATAGTCCACCAATTCGCTTATTAGCATTTGTCCAATAGGGAAGCTCCACGTAGGGACTCTGGAATATTCTCCCACAAGATGGTTGGATGGAATATTATCGGCTTTTTCTGAGCTTCTTAGGGCTTCCTCGAGTTCACCCGTGGACTGTCTTCACAGATATATTTCAAATGAATCATTACAACGCAGATATTCCTAGTTAAACGGATCCAGAAACAGAATATTATTTTTTTAACACGATTTAACAAGAATAAGATCTGTATTGGATAAGCAATTGACTAACATTCGTAAGTATTTATTTTAACAAGAAACACCGACCATGAATTATGGTTATAAATGTTTCCATTAGTCAAGGAAATGTAGTTCATTATCACTAGGAAGAAAAGGGATTAAGAAGTTGATTAGTTTAAGTGAATAGATCAAGGCAATTCCCATACCTAATCGCCATAACTGTAGATATTCGTGTTTGCTGACTAATGACTTCAAGAAAACCAACGAGATCACCACGCCCCAACTCACTGACTATACGATGACCTCCATCAGGCATATTGTCGACTTGTCTTAATCGACCACTTAAAACAACATATACATGATTTGCGATTTCTCCTTTCCTAAAAAAGCAAGAAAATAACATTATATGTAATGGAATACATTCTGAATAAAATAATCATGATAATAGGGAGTGAAACAATTCACTAAGAGTAAATTATACGTCAAAATTTTCTACCTCCATTAGTGAACATTTTTTTCCTACAAAGCTATGAAATTGAAGGTATTTCTACAATTGTAAGAAGACACTTGATGCACAACAGATCACAAACGAAGTCACCATTTACCGGAAATAAATAGGAAAATGTACAAGATATCCATGTTTCAGAAACTAAAACATTCTCTTTTTCGGAACGATTTGGGGTAAATTTTATCAGTACACATAGATTGAAAACACTGAATAAAAATTGGATTTGGAATTCCATTGAGGAGATACTAATAAATAAATGACTATGACATTTATATGTCGAATATCTCCGACCATGGACTCACATCATAACACATAGAAGTGGTGAAACTTCATCAGTTGAGATGGCTGGGACACGTGTTACGTATGCCCAACCACCGACTTCCTCGATGTGCGATGTTCAGTGGTATAGGAATAGGTTGGAAGAAAGCTAGGGGCGACAAGACCAAAACATGTCAAAAGTCCATGAAGTCACTGACAAGTAGACTGAGTCATGTTGGTAGGTGTAGACTACCTGGTTGGGGACCGCGAGATGATAGCAAACGATGGTTAGAGACCCTGAATGACATGGCTCAAAATCGTTTGCAATGGCGCAGGTGCATACACTCTTTGTGTTCTCCCAAATTTTGATCTCCTGATTCCTCCTTGTCTCCTTTTTCTCTTCCCAAATTTATTTCACTGTATTATACTCTTTAAATAACATCTCCAAGCACTAATCTTCCCGATTACTGCTTATACTATTATTACCTCTACCACGGGATTTGAATCGACCACTGCATCTCTGTGCTAATGTGGTGTGGCAACTCGAACTGATGTACGTACGTACGATGTTCTACGTTGTTACTGACTGACTGACTGATAGAAGTTGTCAAAAACAAAACGAGCTTTTCGAATTCGTGCTGAGATTTCGTCAGACACCAACACATCAGGGCTGATCAGACTTCCAAGATAATGAAGTTGTCGACGAGTTCGATTACTACACTCCCTACTCTTAGTTCAGTTAACTACGCGGGCCAGTCCTGAACCAACAACTTGCATTTAGAGGTGGAGAAACGAGTCTCAAATATACTGGTATTGTTGTTCAGTGCTACCAAAACAATGCATTTTATCAGCGTAATCAGGGCATTCTAAGTCGATATGTGGACTTCCTGGTAGGAGATCGATTCCTGAAAAATTAGTGGACGAGAACGTTGTTTCCATCAGTATGTTTATGATGAAGTTGAACAAAAATGGAGATAGTGGACAGCCTTGTCGGACACCAATATTTTATTTTACTTATTTGAACACATAAATATTGGTACAAGGGGGCACCAGATATATATGCGCCACACAAAACAATGAGGATGGGAAGAGAAGAAGAATGTAAGGTGCGTATAAGAAAGAAAAAAACAATAACAACCACAGATTAGTATGTGGTTATGCCATAATAATAATAGTAATAATAGTAAAAATGGGGGAAACGGAAAGGTACAACGAGAAAAAATTCTTTCAGTTAAGGAAGTTACAACCACTTTTTATGAGGAAAATAAAAGAAGGTTACAGCAGGATCACCACTGGCTTCTATTCTGAGCAATATCTGATAACGTCTCTATCTACTGTGTTGCACCATCTCTCGAACTCCAGCCAGGGAGTTGAGATGGACCAACAGAAGCCAGCCCTTTGCAGCTTTCTTTCATACCACGACACCATGTCATACACTGACCATCTCTCCGCTCTTCCCAACCAGTCCCAGAGTCGGCAAATAATGCACGACGTGGAATTCTCTGGGACGACATTCGTAGAACATGTCTAAGCCATAAAATGTCTAAGTCGAGGTTTCAAGATAGTGACACCAATTGCATTATCGTCGCTGTGCCCGAACACACGACGCCGAGCCTCTCTGCATTACTAACATGGTGTTGCCACTAGATGTCAGCAATCCTTCGGAGACAACGTTGATCGAACACAGAGAGTCATCTAACACCGTGAACTTGGAGAGGCCAGGTTTCCCAAGCATAGAGCAAAACTTCTCTCACCGACGCGTTGTAGATCCGACCTTTTGCAGCCAGACTGAAATCACGAAGGCGCCAAAGATGGCCGAGATTGGCATAGTCCTCTCTGACTTTCACTATACGTGCATTGATCTCATCACTCACGTCACCACCAGCACTTGTGTAGCTACCCAGATACACGAACTTCTCGACTACTTCTATCTGCTCACCACTCAGGGTGAGTGCAGGATCAGGATCCTGTCAGTCTTGTAAAAGTAGTTTGCACTTCGAAGGTGCAAAGCACCTACTGTACCTACGGACACTGATTGCCAACCGATTAAGTGCAGATTGTATTGCCTGGGTACCACCGCATACTCAAGGCCGAGAAGTCTTGCTCCAGGCAATAGATTCACACCACCATTATCTAAATCCATTCATCAAATACTGTTATTCAAAGCGAGTGGAACGTCCAGAGACTCAACGACCACAGCAAAATAACACACAACTGTTTGAGGCATGAGTACATTTACAAATACAGGGACACTATTTGAGAAAAGACACATAAAAGCAGAATAATAATGACTTTGTATACATCATTTTATTTGACTGATGACATTATAACTATATATTATTTTTATTTATATATTACTTGCTTGTTTGTATTTTCTTCCAATACTTAAGATTTTCGATTAACCGAATGAAAAAAGAATCACAAACATAATTCAATAGAATAAATTATGCAACGGTTCGGATGCATTTGCCGGATAAAACAATAACTAAATAAATAAGACGCTTGAGACCTGTGAGTAAATCAGTTTACGAAACCGGTGTGAAAATTGTATGAACTTTCGCTATCAAGCATACAATCAGCTGTACAATAATAACAAAAGAACAACAATAAATAGAGATACTAAACGCGAAAACATATTTTGGTTAGAAAATGATTGGCTGTTACTTACTTATATAAAGCCTTTCCTGATTTAACAGACAACCATTCTATGGCAAAATCAAGTTGATGAAATAACGGTGATAAATGAGAAGAAATAATATGAGTAACACTGAACAAAGCCTTAGGATATTGACGAACTACAGAGTAAAATGTCTCACGGGATAAAACAGCTACAATAGTTTTTGTCGTAGCTTGTACGCCATAAATATTTGGTTCACCGGTTATCAGTCCCAAAAGTCCAACTGCTTTTCCCGGTCCACATTTAAACATTGTAATGACCTGAGCAATAATCCAAGCAATAACTGAATTGATAATTTTTAAACACGTGAAGATTAACGATATTTTAAAAACATGGTACATAGTTGGTTGAAACAAACTACAATGAATATATCTCTTAAAGAACTAAGGGAATAACAAATATATCTAACGTCACAAAATTGGCCAGATTTAAGGCAGAGTACATCATTTGGAAATTGTAATATGTGAATTAAGAATTGCTGTTTGTTATATAAAATCAATTCAGATCGTTAATGTTGGGGCTGTTTAGTATAAAGTGTTAACTTGAATCAGTTTATAAGCGAAATGCAATTGTGCGATAAATGATCTGAATTGATTTTATATAGCAAACAACAATTCTCAATTCACATATTACAATTTCCAAATGATGTACTCTGTCTTAAATCTGGCCAATTTTATGGATTATTAATTTGGATTTGTAATTGTAGAACCTGATGAGAAATTATTGAAAAGAATATTCTTCGTTCATACAATTGTTTTAATATAATGGGAATGTTCCAGCGATTAATACCTAACGTCATAAATTGCATTGCTTCTAGTTGGATTTGAACCAGAAAGTTTTCGCACTAGACGTAAAACTTCGGTTTATATCCTAACATGTCTGGATTCTCAGTGGGCAATCTTTGATATTACTCCAAATACACCCCCACTCTGCAATAATACACATCGTATTATAATGGTAGCTGTCAGTGATAGCATTAGTTATTTAAATCGTTTGTTTTGAATGCATAGTAGATGAAAAGTTAATTAAAACATAACTAAGTTGTTCTTTACTATATATGGTGAATACATTAGTTGTACAGCATTAAAGTGGTTCAGCCTAGTCTGCCAAAATAAACATCTGTACTTGAATTTCTCGAACCATATGAATGTGGTGACATGAAATTTATCAAGCTATTTGTGATTCAATTATATGAAAAGACTTCAAATTTAGGAACTGAACACGTCTCACTGAGATATTGGGAGCCTTACGTAGGTTGATCAGATATTACATTGCTATTGCTGGCATTTCGTAAGGCGAACATCAATTGATTATCTCAATTTAGTGCTAAAAGTTACGAATCTGTCTAGTTAAAAAAAGGGTTTAACAAAGCTGCTTTTTCTGTAATTGGCTTTAAGTTATGCTGCTTGTTTGATGGATAGTATGATATTACTTGACTAAATAAACAAAAGTGAAGTGATGTTTGAACTACGGTTCCAAGTATTTGAATACAGTTCATTCAAAACTGTATAACTGAAAATAAAAATGATTAAAATTGCTTTTCGTGTTTTATAAACTAACTAAAATGATTTTCATACTCACGCATTTATTACAAATTAATTCACAGGAAACACAGACAGCCACTTTCAAGTAACTAGAATCAGTTCAACTTCGTATAAACCGTTCATAAAATGGTAAGTAAAAGAGCGGATGAAAATAATAAAATCATAATACCTGGTGGAACATTAAGGCTCCTAAAGTTTGGAATTATAATTCTTATTTAGGAAGGTACTTGCAAGGTTTACATTTCATGAGAACTTATCAATAATTTAGTTATGAAAATAAATCTATCAAACACAGATTTAATCGACAAATTTTGTATGCTGGTCAGAGAAATTGACCATTCGCCGCAATATAAACACATATAGAACAACTTGAACGTCTAACCATTATACTTGGGAAGCCGGGTAGGGTTACTAACTTAAAAATGGAAAAGTATGACTGCAAGGTAGGTTTAGAAACTTGTACTTGAATAAGAAGTTGTATTAACTGAAAGGAAGAAAAATCATGTAAAAAGGAATGATAACTCAATAAAAGAATATCTTAACTTGGTCTTCATATAAATCACAAAACCACAGGAATGCTGATACATTGTATGGAGTGAAAGATGAATACCATACTCTGATTAGTTTAATCGAATATTTTTAAAGACATCTATACATATCTATGGCGAGTAAAAAACATTTCCAGTTCCGTGATTTCTTGGCGATTTAAATATTATTTTATTACCAATCAAGGCAGTAGTAATACGCTCGGATTTTTGGCACAGAAATCTTTTTCCTAAGCAACAATTATACATATTTAAAACTGAAAACTACATTTCGCTACTATACTTTAAATAATCATTTATTTCATACTTGATATATTTTGATGGTTTTATCATTCATTAATGGGTTTGCATTTATTGATGCCAGTTAAATAAAGAATTATGTCGAATTACATTTAGATTTACATGGGTAACTTTTATCAAGACTACTTCTGCTATGTATTTTTGTTTGATAGTGAGAAAATATTAAGTAGTTGGAAGCAGCTGATAGGAAACTCTGAACCTAGGTTTCGTACTATTTGGCACTCGCTACTAAGATTCACCAGTACTCTTAAGGAACTGGTACCCACTAGCGGCTTATATTCCATGTCACCCAGCTTCATATTCTGAGACAGTGCCCACTGAGGTATTTGAGCCGCGAACAACTTTCTGTACAACAGTTACTTACAATTGGCTGATCATTGAGTATTAAAATTAAAACACGAATTTCAGCGAAGGGATCTCTTTTCAACGAATTTATTATCAAGCTGTACAATCGTATATATATGAAAATTTTGTTTTTGTAAAAGTACTAATTCCGTGAGGAAATGTGAACACAGTTAATATAAAGGTTATAATACTAGATTACGTAATATGAATAATAACAATTACAAAAACAAAATTTTCATATATATACGATTGTACAGCTTGATAATAATTTCGTTGAAAAGAGATCATTGAGTAGTTAGTAGTTTCAGGTTTATCCGGTCGTTTCAATGTTGGTCAAATTCTATTGACCAATTTATTTACTTATTTATTTAAACACATAAACATTGGCACGAGGCACCAAATATATGCGCCACACTTCATCAATCGATTTGTGTAAGGGCTAGGATACTGCCTCGGTGCCCAAATCGAAGTGGGTGGTTTTCTTAGGAGGGCCACTCCCTAAGCCTTTAACCTAGAGGTCTAATCCACAGGGCAGTGAAACAACGTGAGGAGATTCAGTCCCACAGTAGCCGGTGACCAACAATTAGTTCATACGCGATTTGTTCCTTCAGGATACTGGAGACCATGTACACCATTGGTTTGGAATTAGAGTTTTTCAACCCCTCTAGATGGATCCCCCATATCCATCAACCCGGTTAAAGCGCCGGACATTCGCGTTTTGTCCTTTCACTTTCGTAAACAACACCCTAGTTGCGAGAAGGCAGTGAGTAGAACTTCCTTGGCAGTGATCGTATGCACGTGGCCATGTGAGAGCATTTCGAGAGAAAGAGCTGACTCTCCCCACCCTCGGCATCTGGGGGCTAGATGTAACATAGCCAGTAATCTAGGCGATTAAACACTGCATACTTTCTTGAAAATGTCAGTTAGATTAAGGTAGTTGGCCAGAAACTCTTCCCACATGGTAACTTGATCGACAGAGTTCAATGAACACTAAAAGGACCAAACTAACGCGACATTGGTCAATGCTCAATGATTGATTAGTTGTTAGAGTGTGAGAAGTAACATATGAAACTTCGTTAGTCATACTCTCTATTCGATTAACTTGTCTACTTTCAATGAGTATTTAGTAACGTTATTATACGACATATTCTTTACATAGTTTAATTTGAAAGTTGCCTTTCGATCTATTACTTATTGTTATACCGCTTACCTATTGAAGAATAGTTAACAATATGTGACTTACATATTGATTTGTAACAAAACCTAATTATATACCTAGTGTAAATTATAAACTGTAGTACGTTATGCGATCTGGTGTACTACTTGCACAGACATGTGAATTATGAATCTAAATGATAAAACACCTTTATATCTGAAAACCAGTAATACTAATCTGGTTTACCAAACCGTTGTTCCATTGAAATATAAGTATCTTATTCACATAACTAATAAGGATATACCAAAAAAAACGAATAACGTATAGGTTATAAGTGAAATTAACTATCGAAATAACATATGAGAAAAGAAATATTAAAAATTAAATAATCCTCAATTTATAAAAGCAAACATTATTTCAAAAACAATCATTACATTATTATTAGGTCCATCATTAGTTGATTGGAAAGCTCTCAATTCTCCAAATATTACATAATACATTTCTAATTGCATTTCACATTCTCTTGAAAGTATAAAATCAGATGAAACAGTGGTAAGTGAAACATGTTCATGCAGGATACTGGTATCGGTTAAATTTAATAAATTAGCTAAATCTTTTTCAGCGAATTTTATCATTTCTTCTAATTCACTTTTGGTAAAATTAACATCTTTAACAAAATCACAAGGTTCTCCTTTGTTATTTTTATTACCAATGTCTTTTATCACATCATTTACATCGTCATAGTTTAATTGAAGTTTACGAGATGTATCTGCAAGAGAGCGTGCCCGACGTAAATTAGTGGAACGATGTTTACAATTTGGACTAGGTGGTTGGGAAGGTGAAAATATAGGTGATGCCGTTTTCCGATTGTAAAATATAGGACTTTCACCTAATTCAAGTGCACCAGATTGAGACATTGAATCTAAATTCAGATCATCATTATAGGTGAAAACCTGTTCTAATTCTGATTCAGAATTTTTGGACTTTTGATCATCTGTGACATTCGATATGGAAAATTTAACTTTTGAACATGTAAGATCTAAATCTGAAAAAAAACGTTTATAACAATGTACTCAAAGAAGAGGATAGTTCCAAAGTGGGTTAAAAGTTTAAACATATTCACCAAACCCGTGAGACTGAAGACTGTCTCATAAAATTTACAAAATGACAACTGGATTTCAAAAGTTTCTCATTGAACATTATCATTTATTTATCATTAGTGTAATGTTGAGTTACAGAACATATAAAGAACTGATTGACCTCAACTGTCGGAATATTTTATAATTATGAGATGTAATGAGACGTGTGGGCTTTCAAATGGCACAACAGGAATGAAAAAAAATCTAGAAAAACACAATTATCTACAAAGTAAATAATAATTAAATGTTATTATGTTCCGTATTGTATTTTTCATAAACTGAACTACAAGGTATGATTCAGAAAGTCACATTTCAGATAACAACAATAAATCTATTTGCAGCATAACCATAAACAACAATATTGTCCAGATATTTTTATAGCACAATTATACGACTTTAAAAAATACTAACCATCGGTGTTCGAAAACCCACTTTTACTTTATCGCAGATAATCGTGACAAAAGTTGAAAACATAATTAAATAGTATAATCTCCAGAGAATTTTGAGTTAGTGGGGATAACTTTGATTTATATCACCTAATATCAATGTACTTTTCTTATGTTTCCCATATTTTCATTCACTAACTTGTTCAGCAGTTCATTTTTGTTGTAGGTTCCAACTAGTTTAGATTCATTAAATACTAGCTTTTCAAAAGCAGTTACTACTACAAAGCAACATGTGTCATTTAACCTTATTGACTTGAAAATTCGTAGCCTGGTGTAAGTTGGGAAGCCTTCTTAAAACTTATCTCTGTTGATGTGTCCAGCATCGAAAAGACCAGTACTCAAGATTGCAGAAAAGTACTGTTTTAGTGCACCAATTTCAAAAGTACGTGTTACTTTTTTGGCCAAAGGACTCTGTAACATCGGTGCCTGATTTTGTCAACCTCTTTTTCCAACTAACTGTTAAGGGACAAGTAATCGTAATTGGGAAAAATTCTATCTAAAGTCACCTACAAATTATCAGGCAAAAACGTCTAAACATATCAGGATGTAGCTAAAGACTAAAGTGAGTTACTCTTGTTATATCCTGCAAATACAATCAAAAATGAGTTATATCAATAAATAAATGAATAATTAAATTAGCTAGTGGTCGACATATGTACAATGAGTAAGTGTGAATGCGGAGGAGACTTAAAACTTGTCCACTGAATCATATCCATCTCGAAAAAGAAATAAAATTCAAATTATCATATAAGTTATGACAATCGTAAATGTATAGCTCTGAAAATGAGATCCCCCAAGAAAATATCTCCTGGCTGACCTCTTCCATTACTTGAAGTTTCTGTAAAAATACGTGATACGTATCATAAGCTACAAATTGATTAAGACTTTAATTAAGAAAAATGGAGCTAAAAAAAGTGAGTATATTGTGATAAAGAGAACTGAAATTCTGTAACTAGATCATGCTATAGTATTATAAATATTATAATAATAATAATAATAATAATAATAATAATAATAATAATAATAGCGTTGAATGCTTGGTTAGGTACGCTGATCAAAAACAGTCCTTTGTGTACATTTAATTCAAACCCTAACTATATAAGAGGACAGATTGTGGTGGAGTTTTGTTCTCTGAGCTGGATGGTTTGGTCGTGGAGCTTTTATCGTTCTTCTCCACGACCAAACCATCCAGCTCATAGAAAAAAACTCCACCAAAATCATCCACCTGAGCTACAAATCTTCTCCACCATCTCAAGAGGAGAGATTGTTAATCAAGGCTTTTTTCCTTGAATAGGTAAGAAATATGAAGGTTGCCACCAGCTACGTACATATTTGTTCGTTGAGCTATGAATCACACGTCAGTTAGAATCAAACGTCTGATGATTAGAAGTGAAATGCCTGTATCAGAGTTCCATCGTGAATGATCTTCTACGTGGTGTCCGGCCCCCAAATGCCCTGGTACGGCTGAGAGTGGGGAGAGTCAGCTCTTTCTCTCGAAATGCTCTCACATGGCCACGTGCATACGATCACTGCCAAGGAAGTTCTACTCACTGCCTTCTCGCAACTAGGGTGTTGTTTACGAAAGTGAAAGGACAAAACGCGAATGTCCGGCGCTTTAACCGAGTTGATGGATATGGGGGATCCATCTAGAGGAGTTGAAAAACTCTAATTCCAAACCAATGGTGTACATGGTCTCCAGTATCCTGAAGGAACAAATCGCGTATGAACTAATTGTTGGTCACCGGCTACTGTGGGACTGAATCTCCTCACGTTGTTCCTCTGCCTTGTGGGTCAGACCTTTAGGTCAAAGGTCGGGGTGCGGCCCGCTAAGAAAACCACCTGCTTCAGCCTGGGAACCGGGGCAGTATCACAGCCCACACACAAATAAAATGAGACGACGGTAGTTGATGAAAATACTATTCTCACCTCGATTAAAAGTCAGACAATTCACATTCATTTTTTTCCTTTTTTTACTACGTCACTTATTCACTTTTTTTATTCCCACTTTGTGCATCTGTTATGTCCCGGCGAGAATAATAAATGGTAACTTTGGGGATCTATTGATTGACCAATACTAAAGGTATATTTCTATTATATAATTATTAAGCAACTAAACTATGCATATTCATATTCCTCTTATTCTACGTTTTATTTTGACCCATAAACTATTATTATACGTTTTAACATACTTGAGTTATACCCAGTATACTAAATACTACCTCCCTCATTCACAGCCACATCTGGCTAATTCTTGTACAAATGTTGTTTCATATTTTATTGGTACGTTGTGGTCTGTTTGGTTGGTATATAAACACAGTATGTTTGAAATATAGCGATTCATATTACAGAGGCTGAGACTGGTGTTCTGGACTTAACTGGCTAAGCGGAAAGCAGAACCAATCAGGAATCTAGGCTGCTCGCACGTGTTTTACGTGCCCTTGGTCCGATCGATAATTCGCTGCATCTGATTGGTGGCTTTGGGCCAAAACAGTATCCTTATTTTTCAGCTTATACAGCAGCTCGCCTATGGTGGAAACTCGGTTCTATCTAAACGTTCTCGAGTCACTGACTGATCGAAAATTCAATGCTACCACCGAATACGAATACTGAAACAGTTTTTCTGAAACCACGTGCATCATTCAAACTGGATTCCTTCAACGTTCGCACAATAATGCAGATCCGGGGACCCAGTGGCATCTTCGTCTGGTCTTGCTGGTGTTGGTGTCGCACTAAGCGCTAGAGCTGAGGCAGCACTAATCGATTGGATCCCCATTAACAGTCGGTTATGTGCTGTTAGATTAGAGAGTTCCATCAAAGTGAGGAGAAATCAGCGTGAGAAACGATGTCTTTTCGTCATCTCCGCCTATGCCCTGACAGATTGCAGCCCGGATGCAATAAAAAATGAGTTTTACCACCAGTTATCTGTTCTTCTCCACAAAGTGCGTTTGACAGATATAATGGTACTAGCCGGAGACTTGAATGCTCAGGTCGGGCGTCTAGGCACAGAAGAGTCGTTTAGGAGGCCGATAGGGACTTCTTGGTCGCAGGACAAATAATGGGGACCGTCTACTGCAACTGTGCACAGACCACAACCTGTTTCTGGCTAGCACTAACTTCCGCACAGTCATCGCCGATGTGCCACCTGACGTCCTCCCTCTGCATCTCAAGCCTGGACTCAGATTGATCACATCGCGATCAGCTACCGCTGGCGTGGTTGTGTACAAGGAATTCCAACTCTTAAAGCGCCACAAATCACCGGGTCAAAATGAATTGCCTCCGGCTCTTTTTAAAGATGGTGGTGAATTTCCGGTTAAAGAACTGACAATGTTGTTTACAAAGGTCTGGGAGCTAGAAAGTGTTCCAGCATCATGGAATGAGTCGATAGTTGTCCCTATCTTTAAAAATAGTTCACGTCGTTTCTGTAACAAATATCGAGGGATAAGTCTACTTCCAATTGCGTTCAAGCTATTGGCTTCCGTCATACTTCGTAGGTTGTTCAAAACCCAAGAAAGATTGACTCGCGAGGAGCAGGCTGGTCTTCGTTCTGGTCGAGGATGTATTGATCATATATTCACCCTCCGTCAAATGTTAGAATACCGTCATGCTTATCAAAGGCCAACAATCGTAGTGTTTCTTGACATTAGGGCTGCCTTCGATTCGTTGGACAGGACTTTTCTCTGGGATTGTCTATTGAAGAAGGGTGTACCTGAGAAGTTTATTAACATCCTAAAAGCCATATATACTAACACCTCAGGCAGAGTGATAACACACAACCCCCTTTCTCCATTGTTCCATTCAAGTAATAGGGTTAGACAGGGTTACCCAATCTCACCATTCCGCTTCAACTTTGCCCTCAATGACGTTCTGGAAGCAGCTCTGATTGATGTAGGTAATAGCGGTGTAAATCTGTTGCCTGAAGAAAGACTTTTCAACCTTGAGTATGCGGATGAAATTGTCTTACTGTGCGATGGTACCCAGGCAATACAATCTGCACTTAATCGGTTGGCAATCAGTCTCCGTAGGTACGGTAGCTGCTTTGCACCTTCGAAGTGCAAACTACTTTTACAAGACTGACAGGATCCTGATCCTGCACTCACCCTGAGTGGTGAGCAGATAGAAGTAGTCGAGAAGTTCGTGTATCTGGGTAGCTACACAAGTGCTGGTGGTGACGTGAGTGATGAGATCAATGCACGTATAGTGAAAGTCAGAGAGGACTATGCCAATCTCGGCCATCTTTGGCGCCTTCGTGATTTCAGTCTGGCTGCAAAAGGTCGGATCTACAACGCGTCGGTGAGAGAAGTTTTGCTCTATGCTTGGGAAACCTGGCCTCTCCAAGTTCACGGTGTTAGATGACTCTCTGTGTTCGATCAACGTTGTCTCCGAAGGATTGCTGACATCTAGTGGCAACACCATGTTAGTAATGCAGAGAGGCTCGGCGTCGTGTGTTCGGGCACAGCGACGATAATGCAATTGGTGTCACTATCTTGAAACCTCGACTTAGACATTTTATGGCTTAGACATGTTCTACGAATGTCGTCCCAGAGAATTCCACGTCGTGCATTATTTGCCGACTCTGGGACTGGTTGGGAAGAGCGGAGAGATGGTCAGTGTATGACATGGTGTCGTGGTATGAAAGAAAGCTGCAAAGGGCTGGCTTCTGTTGGTCCATCTCAACTCCCTGGCTGGAGTTCGAGAGATGGTGCAACACAGTAGATAGAGACGTTATCAGATATTGCTCAGAATAGAAGCCAGTGGTGATCCTGCTGTAACCTTCTTTTATTTTCCTCATAAAAAGTGGTTGTAACTTCCTTAACTGAAAGAATTTTTTCTCGTTGTACCTTTCCGTTTCCCCCATTTTTACTATTATTACTATTATTATTATGGCATAACCACATACTAATCTGTGGTTGTTATTGTTTTTTTCTTTCTTATACGCACCTTACATTCTTCTTCTCTTCCCATCCTCATTGTTTTGTGTGGCGCGTATATATCTGGTGCCCCCTTGTACCAATATTTATGTGTTCAAATAAGTAAAATAAAATATTGGTGTCCGACAAGGCTGTCCACTATCTCCATTTTTGTTCAACTTCATCATAAACATACTGATGGAAACAACGTTCTCGTCCACTAATTTTTCAGGAATCGATCTCCTACCAGGAAGTCCACATATCGACTTAGAATGCCCTGATTACATAATACTGTTTGGTGAAGACGTTGATAAAATGCAGTGTTTTAGTAGCCCCAATGGGTAGGTGTCTGACAAATCTCTGCACGAATTTAGAAAGCTCGTTTGGTTTTTGCCAACTCACGTCTTCCATGGAGAGCGAGATATCTGTCTATCAATTATGGGACGAGTATACTGCTCAGCAGTTCGTTCTGTTTTACTCTACGGCCGCGAAACGTAGCCATTAAGGGTAGAGGATACTCGTGGATTACTAGTATTTAGTCACAGATGTCTTAGAAATATTGCTCGCATCTGCTGGGATCACCGGGTAATTAATATTGAGGTCAGACACAGGGTATTAGGGAATGATGTTAAATCAGTCGATGAGGTTGTGAGTCTTCATCGACTGAGATGGTTGGGCCAAGTGTTACTTATGCCTGAATACCGATTACCACGACGCGCAATGCTGACCAGTGTTGGGGATGGTCGGAAGGAATTTAGGGGCGACCAAAACAAAACGTGGCATCAGAGCTTGAATTCACTAACGTCTGCTGTGAGCCATGTTGGTGGATGCAGACTACTTGGTTGAGGTCCGCGTGACTAACGTAACCAATGGTTGGAAACTCTGGGTGGTATGGCTCAGAATCGATCACAATGGAGTAGGTGTATGCACTCTTTGTCTTCTCTTAGACGGTGAGATTAAAATTATCTTATACCTTCCTTTCTACGAACCAACTGCTTCTCCTTGTATCCTTATATGAAATCTTTCTTTTATATATTACTACCATTGAAGTAACTGCTTCTATGAATTTGGTGTTTATCCTGTTGTGCTAGTGATGTGTGGCAACTTGGACCGACACATATATGAACCTGGTCCTACGTTGTAGCTGAGTGACTGTAGTCACGCTCTCAGATCACTAAGAACAACTCTAGCCCCATTTCCTTTTCAGGTACTCCTAGAAGAACCCTTACAGAGTGTGGGCAATCCGGAAGTGATAACCACCCTCATATCTCTAACAGCACTCGAGACCACTGACTAACTGACTTATCAAAATGATGACAAGTACACTGATTAATATAAAGGAAATCTTACCCGGATACTTTAAACTAATATTACCGAACTCGTTAAAGTCTTTCATTGATGGTCTCTTCTCAAAAACCTTGCATAGGAATTCATGAGCTTCAGATGAACCAGATATAGGGGAAAAGTCCTATGTAAACAATGAATTTGAATGAATAGGTAACATGTTATCGAATAATATCGATTATAACTAAAGAAAATACTTTTTTTAAAACAATATTCAAGTAACAATGAAATCACCAACTGCTATCAATATCTTCCTAAATGCCTCTTACTAATGAATTAAAATAGATTTACATAGATATGAGAAATCTATTGCTAATGATTAGTAACAATGATGAACACCCAAGCCTCATATGTTGGAAACCTTACCCAATGAATTCTTATTTGAAATGACGATACAACTTTTTGAACCAAGTATCTGTTGCAACAGTGTTGATTATTTGAGGGCCTAGAAACTATGACATATTACAACAATAGGGGAAAGCATCAATTCATAAGTTTACTTACTCCTCTTAATAGTCCCCTTCATAGATTAACATATTACTAACAACTGCTACGTAATTGTAAAGATATGTTTGCATCCTTTGTGAGGATTTGTGGACGATTATCCCATTGATGATGATGCAGATCACCAAAAAGAAAAGTAGTTTTCAATTGGGCAAAATCTACACCCGACAAATTAATTCAATATTCTCAATGTTCAGTTTTTATTTCACTTTATTAGTGTAAATACATCAATTTCGGAAGTGTTACGTGGAGAATTAAAAAGGCGAACGGTCATTTGACTTTTTAATCAACACCATGATTACCACAAGTGTTATTTGCACTTCCAATGTTTATCGCTTATATCTTATATTATTACAATCTTATCAAGTTTTAGAAGCCGTATTCCACCCAGTCTCATTTTATCGGTACTTAACTTTCATTTATAAATTAGCTGTAATTGAAGCCACTATTATAAGGATAAATTATAATCATTAGCATGAGATATTTGTTTTTTACACTTGTTTTGCAGTTTCGCCTTCCTTGTAAACCCGAACTCCTCTGTCAAGAAAACGCTTGTACTGGTGCCTACTGACTATCATACTTAGGGGCTTCAGAGGTCAGATCCTACTGCTTTGATTTTTATCGGCCTCATCCTGCGCTTACCAACCTCAATATCATCTGTGGTTGTGATTCAGGTTTAAGTAAGTGAAGAGCAGCTGTAGGCTAGTTGATATATTGAGGTATCCTAGTCAACGTTTCAGCCTACTAATCCCAGGAATAATAAATATTCAATCCTCTTTTATGATAGCTATACTAAGTATCGCCTTTTTCAAACCGCTTTGATTAAATTAAATAACTTCCAGATATTACCTATCCCTAATATCCTTTTTATCTATAACCACTGGTCACAGATTACTTACAATCTTCAACGATATTTTCAAGTAGACTGAATACTTCACTAAGGTAGGTCATAAATGAAACCACTCTTGATAGTCCGTTATCACACTTATTGCTTTTATCTTCAGGTCTATCATGAGAAACCTTTTTAGTAAATGATGAAAATGCAGAAAAGCAACAGACAAACATTTATTCCCTTCAATGGTGATCAATAACAATATGGTCTGTAAGGCTTCATAATTTGAATGATGTAAAAAGTTATCAAGTTCGATTTTTTAATTATTTAACTCGCATTTGGAAACTCTGAGAGTGCAGAAGATCATGAGAGATGATAAAGTGACAAAGAGTCCTCTAATCACCTGGATTGATTATCCAAAAATGATTTTGATCGGCTTATCATTCTTAATATTAGGGAGAGTAAATAAACCAGACATTCATTTCACATTACGTTGGATTGTAAGGGTCTTGAAACCAAAGTACACAAACAACTTCTTATCATATGACCATAAGTACCTTCGAGGTACTATCAGCAAACAATAAAACGACCGAATTAGCAGCGCGAATGCTAGATGTAGAGTATTAAGTAAAGGCAGTAAATCGGTTATCAAGGTCGTGTTCCTTGATTAACTAGGGCAGTTGCGATATGTAGTATACATAATCTGCTGCCACCTACATCAATGTATTGTGTTGGTCAGCAAAAGTGGATTGGAAAAGCTAGGGGCTTTCAAAATACGATATGGCATCAGTCTGTCAGTTGTTGTTTTAGTAGAATAGTAGTTTAAATATCAAAAAATTCCTCTCTACACTCACAAGTTTACAGGTTCGAAACGCGATTCACCTACTGTGGCTTGTGTAGCCTGGTAACATCACTGATCCTGATACAGAACTTGTGACTTGAAGCCAGATACTGAGTTAGGAGATACATATATCGTAGTCGAGATTCATGCGATGCAGTTTATCTCGAAACCAACCACAGGAATACAGTTTCTCATTTGTTTCTCTTCCTGTTAATTCTGAGTTTCTTTTCATGACATAAATTTTGTCCCATGGTTATATTTTCTTCAAATAGTCGATACCTGTTGTTTTGTTTCTCTTTAATTCAGAAAAGTACAATATGTGAAACGTTATCTGCTTCACTGAAATCACAGCTTTTACACTACACTTATTTTCTTGTGACATTTTAAAACTGCTATTAACACTTTTGTATCACGCTTAAAGAGATGAACAATGTCTATTCTTCCAAAACATGAATCTCTTTTAGAAATAAGTTACACAAAACAGGTATAACCTATACAAGATATAAACCTGTTTGTCTAGCTGACGGACATTAACCAAAGTCCAACTAAGAGTATGTTCGCGTATATAAACCCTTAAATTATGCTTATTTACGATCCTTTTGATTCTCGCAAGGTATGGAGTGGCCAGTGATTAACGCTGAAAGAAAAACGATAGGAACCAAAGGTAAAGTATGTAAAAACTTTAACTACAAATATATTGGTAAAAGTTTATACACAATACTGTCAACATAGAGCTTTGGCGAACACATCTCTAACTATTTCTTCAGAGTATTACTCTTCATGAGACGACTAAAAACAAGCAGATAGAAGAAATCGAACACTGAACCCAAAAAGCAACAAGAATGTGTATCGAGATAGATAACTCTTATTAATTGATATTTTGAACGCAAAAAGCAACAGAAAAATTACAGTGGAATTCAATTAATCGAACCAGTTAGGTACAAAATAGTTAGGCTTTACTAAGTAGCAGATAGTCTATTGTAAAAGAGGATAAATGAACTATAATACTAACCTTATTAATTAGTTCCGAACTTAAACCAAGATAAGTGTGTAACGCGTTGAAGCTCAAACGCTGAAGTCTAACTGCAATCATCTGAATAATGCGAAAAAGAGGTGTTTGTGTTTTGCATATTTCCAAAAATGATCGGGCCGGTAAGCATAATACAGTTGTGGGCTCCAAAGCGACTGCTTCCATGAACTCAAAAGTTGAAGGATAACCAGTAAGTATACTCAGAACAGATAGCAAACTATCAACACTCCCACCTTTTCCAACTTCAGCGATGATGCACTTGGATCCATCCTATACATTTAGACCCAAGAGAAACTATTTAGTAGGCATAGTAATGCTCAGAAAATATTCAACTCAGAAAATCAAACAAGTATTAACATAACAATATTGTTTTAAACACCATTAGTTGTAACTATAAACCGTGAAAATAAACGGTTTGGTGACACATTTTTGATATCTGAATATGAATTAATTTAGCTAGGTAAAACGAAGTAAACAAGTTGCTGTACTTTACAGAAAATATCAACAAAACTGAGGACTGAAAGTAGTAACACTATCATAATTATAAACTTGAAACAACCAAAAAGCAAGTTGAAGCGACAAATGATATCAGGGAATAAAAACTGACATGTTTTGTTCAAAGCATAGTAAGATAAAGGATAAAATGAGAATCCTTTATTATAGCAAGCTAATCAGATTCCAGATAGTATCAGCTTTTATTATTTGTAATTTAAATCCGGAGAGGAAAAACAAAGAGTCAAGTTAACTCATTATCACGTTGACGACTTAGGGAAGTCCGAAGAGACAATCACCGGGGACAGACAAAACTATATATATATATATATATATATATATATATATATATATATATATATATATATATGTATATATATAATGGGTGTCAGTGGATATTTTGTCAAAAAAAACCCAATAGTAGCAAACTAGAATTCATAACTATAAAAGTGGACAGTACCGACTTTTCAGGTTATTAGCAGACGTATGATACCAAAAATTTTAAAGTGAAGTTGGATTTTTAATAAATCGTGTTGCGAAATGTCTGACCAGTATTTGACAAATTTAACCGACACTGAATCCCCCAATATTTTGAACTGATGAGAAATAACGCGTTTTTAGCCTGTGTTTATTGTTGTAAACAGTCAAAATAAACTGTTGTTGGCAAAATATAACATGCTGACTACCAAAATGGTATTGAAGACTTACCGGTTCTGTGACAGTGATTTGGATTCTACCACTACGAATAACATACACATATTTATCTTCATCTCCAATACGGAACAGATACTCGCCTATATTCAGCTCTATTGTCTCAATGAATTTGCAAAACCTTATAAAAAATGATTTTTCCAGTTGCCCAAAAACCCTTATCGAACTTATCATCAAGCGGAGATCTTCTGGTAATGAAGAGACATCTTCCTCATCTGGTTCAAAAAACGACTCAGGAAGTCGACCATAGGCCAGCGTCGGCGACTTTTCGATGTCATGCAACTTGAAGATTCTGTAGGATGAGGGTTAAAAACAATCAAATCACTTTCTCGCGAAATTTATGATAGTAGTTCTCCGTTCTTCCTTTGTCTGTACCTTTTTTAACTCCTCCGTTATTTCACTGAATTTGCGCCCGAACCTGATTGCATGGTACCTGATCTTATCTCTTCGGCGAAATCCCCGAGGAACTTGAGTGGTTTTAACACGCAAAGGCACTGTCAACATAAAAATTAATTTAGAAACATTAAAATACCATGCGACTTTAAGTGCCGTAGTAGTAAAAATGTTGATAGACCCAGCAAAAATAGAGTCAGTATGAGGAGGACCGTGGCATTCTGTAAATCTCGAGAAATTCCAACCCAGCTACTTACATACGACAAAAGAAGGCTCGGGAATATTTCTGCCAAAATACCTTCTCTTATACTTATAAGGACTCCAGAGTAAAACAAAGTGAACTTGTTAATAAGATCATAGAAGGTTTCATATATATTTGAACTGAAAGAGGAAACTCTATCACAAACTGTGTCGAAAAACTGCATAACATCAAATTGAGTAGCTAGTCATTCAAATCCACGCTCTAACTCAAAGAAAAAAATTTGAGTGTCATAACTAGTGAACTACTTAATCCTTGGGATCTGTATCTGAGTAGTCTGAGAATTTTCTTGCCACTTTGAGTTTATAGTTCCTATTATGTTCCTTCTGTGACTGTAGGATAAAGTCTTCCTTGTCGTATCGTAGAATGCAAGTTGATCGTATGTTGACATTTCGTATCTTTAATTACGATCTAGGTGTTAATATGTCTTATCTCTTTGCTCCCTCCATCACTAATAATCTCCGAGGTCATAGCGAGAAGATTCACAAACTGCGATCTAATAAACTAAAGTGGCTGGAATGTCTTACCCGAGCAAGTGGTATCAGCTCTATCAGTGAATATTTTGAAGCTGAACCCTTACTGGAAGACAAACTGTAGGGACTGACACAAGTCCACCAACCCACTATCCTTATTACCAAAGACTCATATTTGAAGTTGTATAACCTAAAGAAATGGACAATAAAGATCCATTAGTCAACAACTTCAGCCCTACGAGTAATTGCAGGACTGCCTCTGCCAAAGGTTTCGTGATCTTATGGGCTTGTATCGGTAAATAAATCCCCCCAAAAAAAGCCCTAAGTTTCCGACATTGGATGCTGACCATATGTTTTAGTGAACTCATCTAGCTGAAGGCGCTCGGTCATGCATCCGCACCAGATCACGTGTGGTAACGCCGTGCTCAACATCAACCGCAATCACTAGGCAGATTAGATCAGAGAATTCCGATATATTGGTCATCGCCAAATACACTCTCCCGATCTCCTTGACTCTGTCTTTTGATTTCTCTGGGTGGGAATGAATTATATTAGGTGTTACTGGTAAAAGCGTTGTCAAACACTGAATACCTGTGTCATCTTCAGGCTGTTTGCAACTCAGTACCTGAGCAAGGAAATTATTAGGGTATTATACTTGACTTTCGTGAGGCCGTATTTGGGATGTGGGATTCAAACAGAGAGTCCTTGTTTCAAGTATGAGACAGATATGCTAAAACGGTTTCAGTGGCAAGGGACCAAAATGGTATAATGTCTGTCTGGCCTTACTTATGAAGACGAACTGAGACGTCTCGGCCTATTTCCATTATGCTATCGCAGGTTATTGAGTGATCCGAAAATGGCTCACTGTATATTGAATAAAGATCTTGTTGTTTTATCTTCTTCCACTTAAGGCTGATCGTCTGAAAGGATATTCTATGAAAATCCAGAAGACCGAGATCCAATCTACTGTGCCTTGGCTCTCCTTTCTCCCATGGAGTGGCGAATTACCGGATTTCTCTAACAAAATACGTAATATTAGAACCTTCTGTTGATACATTCAAAGTGCGATTGGATCTCTACACTACTACAAATTGCAAGGATTAATGAAATCCCCCTATCCTTACTACTGAAGGCTGAATTAGTGGCGGAAGTGAAGGACTTTCAATAGTTAGCCTTAGAACACTGCAGAAGGTTCCGTTACTTCCCCCGCTGGTAATAAGTTCCACGGTGTGTCGATTTTGAGAACACCCAACTCATCACGAATTTTTCACCAGTTCGTTAGTGTTCCTGCTGAAGATGCCACAGGCGCTTGGAGTTTTACAACTCTTTAATCAGTAACACCTTCTACTATGAATCGTCACAATTGATTGATCATTGGGGTGGTGATCATTGTCATGTGTGTCAAGTCCTTTTTGGTGCAGATCGAATGCCATCGACCAAGTTGCAATGTGGCCACTAGTCTAGGTGACTCGACATAGCGTGCGCTGTTTTGAGATTAAATGGTGATTGGAGGTAATCAACAGGATCGAATCCCTCAGAGAGCACCAGTTCCCTCAGGACTACAGGTACACCCTGCCAAGTAGCACGAAACCCGGTCCAGGGTTTCCCGTTAACTACCTCCAATCACCAACTATGAATCGTACACACTAAGTGAAATCAAAAGAAAGAAGCGAGGAGGTTCGTAGATATATTTGATAGGCTATCAATAAACTGAGGATCGATCGACCTAATCTGGCTAGCGATTGCGAGGGATGTTGAGCATGGCGTTCCCACTCGTGGTGTGGTGCGGATGCATGATCAGGCGCCTTCAGCTAGGTGAGTCCATTAAAACTAATGCGGTCAGCATCCAGTGTCGAAGACTTGCAGAGCTATTTGTTTTGGGGACTTATTTACTGCTACACTACCTAAATGGTCGTATTTTTATGCGTAGCTTACTATTAGGTTTTATCATTGATCTGTCAGGATGAAGGGGATTACGAGTGACATGATGAATCAATCCTTCTGCACTGAAAAGGTCCCAAATTTAGGGCTTCCAGACGACCTGAGACGGATTTATTTTGTAGTCCGAGCTTACTTAACCCTCTTCAAACATGTTCCAAGATAATAATGTCATACTGAAAAAAGGGGGCATAATGTGGACGTTTTTCATGGTCGATAAGTTAATTAAACACTGAAAACAATGTTGAGCAGTTGAAGAGTCAGACTACTCAAGGTTTAGCAAAGGAACATCGGGATAGAATATACTGTGTTGGTTGCAGAATCCTCATTGCAGGAGATACCTAAAGTATCACGCAAGGTGATCTGTAGATTTCATTTATAATGGAAAGTGTGGTGCCGGTATCACTTAAGAGGACTGGGGTGAACAGATTATCACTACATTTTACCATCCGCTTGTAACAACTTGGGTTAATTGATCAAGAGTTGGCACCAAACATCTAAGTAAATGTCAAGACACTATAGCCCAAGTATTTATTCACTCCCTTACTTTGTCTGGGGATTGTAATTTCAATTATGTTATATAATGGGGCAGTCATAGTGGAGCCAGGAACTACCTGTTCAAATACACAAAGCTTTTCAGCATTCAATATAGAATAATAGGAAATATAACTTTTGTAAAAAACACGGAGGTTAATGAATACTTGAGCTCTATTGTTTCGACATATACTTAGTTGTTCCAGACCAACCCTTAACCAATTAACTTAAACTGTTACATATCACACTGCTATGACGATAACTAATGGTTTACGTTATATGTAGTTTGGAGATTATAAGGACAAACAACTGATCGGAGAACAAAGGAAGAGCAGTTTGAGGATGCAAAATTGCAGAGTAAGACGACAAGTAAAAAAATAATTGGATGATAGTAATGATAAAAAGTTTCGTACTAGTATAATATGAGCTAGTAGGGATTCTCGATAATTCGGAATATTTTCTGAGCTTCCTATGATCGGACAGCCTCTGGTTTTCCACCCGAGCCGTCTCTAGTTGCATTAAGTTTTATTTGGTCGTGGTCCAAGGTATTTCTAAGGCTCAATGTGTGCAACACCATCAATGGTTGTAGAGATAAAAAGAAAACTCAAGAAACATTTGTTGAATCGTTAAAAAGGAGAAATATGAAGTATGTAAAAGGAGTAAGCGAACAAAGCACTGTTTGAACCACGACATGTCAAGTGTCAAATTACAGAGGCTATTTGGGGGTCGAATAATTGAAGTTTGTGACATGGTCACTAAGTGTCAGTCAGTTAGATGTTAAACGGATCACCGGTAAATGCGGCTTGGTTTAGGTAAGCTCCGTCGAGCCAGTCCACAAAACAGTTTAGAAGAGATTTAAATTCAGCGATCGTTTGAACTGACCAGATGTCTACCGGTAACGTATTCCAAAGGCATGCGTAGCGTGTGACAAAGAAAGTTGACTTCAGTTTGCTTGATGTTCTATTTTTGTTTTGTAAATTGGGAGACGGTCGCCCAGCCTCTAGTTTTTTGTCTGTCGAAAGCTTCTATTGTTGCTAAGTACTGGTTGAATGTTGAGAATAGCCAAAAATTCATGCTAAAAAACATTTTCGCAACTTCTGCGGCTTAGATCTGACTTTTATGGGGATATAATCACAATACAGGACGTATTTTTTGTTATAAGTGAGGCGATCAAGTTCAAACAGGTCCTGAGCTTAAAATAAAGGACGACACCAGAAGAAAACACCCCGTTCCAACTAAGACCACGCAGAGGAAATTCAGAGTAGGACCAGACGGTATTTGAAAAGTTTCTGATGGTATCTATGAGAACTTTTGTTCTGTTAGAAGTACAAGAGCATTTTCGCACAATGAGTTGACTGACTACAAATTTGTTATCACTGCCTGGAAATTCAAGACTAGTGTATCGATTATATGTTGGAGGATTGTGTATGGAACTCAGGTCTAATGGGCTAGTATTTTATGATAGGCCCGTTGACCATCTGTATCCACCTGCTTGTTTCTAGTACTTCAATGAGCTTTTCAAAGTGATAAGCACGTAATGGATTTCAACTAACGGATGGTATACTGAAATCGCCACCTATCAACTTAGCTGCATGTAATAGCAATAAGTGTGTGAATACTTGATTTGAATGTGTATCCGTTACATGCAGCCTATTATAAAATGCTGATAGACATAATTATCGACACTGATGAACATAGGGTCATTTAACAGTTTGCAATCCTCTGGAAAGATTGTTGTGGATAGAATATGAGATCACAAATATATTATACAGCCTCCACCTTTGCTTGAATGTCGATCTTTATGGTTTCTTCACAACACATATGTAACAGCTCAGGTTGGTTGGTTAAGAGTTGACCCCAAACAACCAAGCATATGCCAAAACAGTATTGTTCAAGTATTCATTCACTTCCTTATTTTTTATAAGCGTTATATTACCTATTATCTTATATTGAATGTTGAGAGCCTTTGTTTGTCTGAACAGATAATCACTCACTCCACTGTGACTGCGCGAAGATCGGAATAAAGACCTATTCACTACTTCCCTGGTTTCTTCTATCAATAACACGAGGGTTACCTTAAGGAACGAAACATATGTGCCCATAAGATGTTTGTGAATAATGATAATAATAATCAAAATAATCTACACACAGTGTTGAATCTGTAATATCAGGTATACACCGGGTTTCGGTAATATGAATACAATACGGATTAACCAGGTAAGCTACAGATCTAATATTAACCATCTTGCATAGTCA